CCAAACGCCGACGCACCGGTACTTTGTCGCGGCGTCGTCGGAGCGGGACATGCACGAGTGGCTCCGCGCGCTCCAAGCCGTCGTCAAACTCAACGAGATGCGGTGGATGCAGCCTTACCACGGATACACCCATCGGACCGCTCAACACAGGACGCTATGTGTCGCATGACCAACTTTATGCCATTTATTTAAGAATCGAATTTGCTGCGGTAGCACTTGGTCAACTCCCGATACCGCGAGGGGAGTGAGGGGGTCGCCAAGTCGGTGAGATTGCAACCGTGCGCACGATGACCACACGAATATTTTGTCGTTCCCGACGTCGGGACGACGGCGCGGACCACCGGCTCGGTAAACGCCGTTGAAGAACGTCGTTGCGGGTGCTGCTGGGACGACCGAGCTGTATCGTGTGTCGCGAGATTCGAGGTGGCACCCCCCATGGAACGCGCGCCAGGTGGGATGCATGACCGACTGGCCGGAAATGTTCCTGTCCGAAACGTGGGTCGATCTCCACAAAGAAAAACTTGGCAACCAACTAGGTGCCAACCGCCCGAGATCCCCGCGATGCGGTCCTCGTGGTGCACGCGGCGGCGGGACGTCGTTCACCTGTCCGTATCGCGTCCAGAACAAGGCTCTGTTGTCACGGCGGCGCCTTGCGTCTCGATTAGCCACGGACTCGGCGGCATGCGTAGGTCGCAGATCGCCTCGTCGTCCGTGCCATGGATTGCAAACCGTGGTGCCGTCGACGACCAGAGACTTGGCAGCCGAGCACTCGACTCGACCAACGTCGACACGAAAACCAACCCCCGACGACGCCCAGTGCGCACGACGGCATCTTGCCAGGATGACCACCCATGCACGCTGCACACTCGAGGAAGTACATGTAGTACGTATCGTCCGAGATGCTGCCGTCGCATCAAGCAGCGACTATCCAACGACGGGCCATGGCGCTTCGCAGCAAACCTCTCGACCCGCCTGCTTTTATCGGCAAGCACGTCAAATTTGCCCAGCACCGACGGGAAGAGATGGTGCGGACATGGCCTCACTGCCGTGAACGGCATCTGCATCGACGCCATGGCACGCCGTGAAAGTGGATCGGTGTCACGAGGCGCAGAAACACACTTGAGGGTGAACGTCGGATCTTGAGTCGTGCGCTGGGGGACTGCAGGTCGTACCGACTGTATCAGGACGATGTTCCGATGGCAGGTGCAGGAGGTTTGGCATCGTCTCTCGATGCAAACACGTCGCATGTGTTTGGGAGCGGCCACGAGGTGGGATGGGTCTTTGAGCTCGAGGAAGTCGCGAGCTTCGGACATGGGTGCATTCCACGAGAACCAGGGCTGGCGCAAGGTCAAGCAGCGCCATGCTTGCTGCCTGTGAGATCACAGACAAGGTAATCCACCCGAGTCGCCTTGACGCGACCTCATGTGGTCCCCAGTCTGCACACAGCAAGGTGATATCCCCTTGGCCCGCAAGTTCTTTCGCGGGCACGATGGGGACATGCGATTCCATCAGGACACGAGCTTCGACTGCGAAGACCCGTTCATATACGTCGGGGGCTTCCGTCCCGTTGACGATTTCGGATGGAGCGATGACAGAGATGGCCGTGACGAACTTGGCCATACCAAACCGAAGTGGAGCATGAGCACCTGGCGTCAACCCATACACGATAGCTTCGGGACGATGCCTTGCGACGGAGCCGAGCAGTACGATGGCGCGAGTAAAACCAGTGGTGGATGCAAGTAAATGATTCAAGCATGTTGGAACGGCATTCGCCTGGGACCACGCGCTGGTCCAAGTTCCATCTTCCCTTCATGATTCATTACCCATTACATGCAGCAACTTGGATCACATCACCATGAAAAACGCAACCTACATGTCGACACAACAAACACTTATTTAGGGGCGACAATCATATCGCCATCGTCGTTGCCGTCGCTGCCCAGGGCGTTGTGGGTACGGTTCGTGCCATTCCTTGATGACTGAGGCACGAGGAACGGCTCGATGAAATCGCGGGCAGCGCCCACGCGAGCGTATACACCAGGTCCACGTCGCTCGTTGCCCCAGCTGCTCACACCGACCAGGTATTCCATCCCAAATTTGTCGAGAATGGTCACGGGGCCGCCAATGTCGTCAGGATGCACGTCCGCCTCGACGCACAACCACGAGTCCTGGACGCTTCGCCCATAATAGTTGGTGCATTCGGCATTCGACAAGATCCGCGCGTGGGTTTCCAGCAGGACATTCGACAGCTCGTGCGGTCCCGACGCATAACCTCGAATCCATGTCGTATTGGCTGTTGAAACACTGGTGACGTTGTCGTGCCAATACAAGCGAACTGTTGGCATCGTGCTTGGGTACATTAGATGAGCCAAGGCGAAGTTGTACACTTGAGTGGTGCTGTCGAATCGCGGGTGGATCGTCATGCTGGCAATGGGGATGCGCTCGCCGTCGGATGCCCCTGACGAATAGTGCGACCCCACAGACACCCACGACGCCCATGCACATGTGACGCTTGTCAAGACCACGGCCGGGGCAATCAGGGACCCCCCGCATCGTGACTCGGACGTGGGTGACCCGCGCAAACCAACGACAAAGGGATGTGATCCACTCGATGCTTCCGTGCCGTTCCACACCGCGCCAGCGATCGCCCATAGCGTCGTCATGAACCAAAGCGCTTGGTGCATGCTGCCAACGAATTGGAATTGTGACGACGACGACCTGGTGGCGGTTGTCAAAGAAATCCAAAGAAATTGCCGTTGAAATTCATGTAAAAACGAGCAATATGTCGATGAATATCATGTAGAAACGAGCAATTTCGTAGAATCCGTGTAAAAACGAGCAATATCGTGTAAAAACCCAGCAATATTCTGGAATTTTGTGTAAAAAATGAACGATACCTGGGAAACGCATGCAAAGCAATGCGGGGCGGTCGATGCACATGCCTACAAAATGCGACGGCAATGTCACCTGGCTGCACCTGTCATCAATTGGCTCGACGCGCGTACGTTTGGGAGGGCATTCATGCGTCTTTATGCACTGCAAGTGGGCTCCATTCAGTTCTGCGGTCGTACAGCTCAATCGCTACCCTCTCTGTCTTCAACGCTGCAAGTGCACAACGATCGTGTTTCGTTTTGAACGGGGCAGTCGAGTGGCAGTTCATGCTGGAAACAGTTGCTGGAGCAATTACCTTAATTAAAATAACCTTCTGTGGAAATTTCTCCCCGAATTCGCCGAAAGAGCACACGACATACAACGTCTTCCCCGCGGCATACATTTGATGGCGCATGCGTGGGCCACGGAGCCCTATCAGGGCGCAATCAATCGCTGGTCTTGTGGTGGCATCGCAACCGTATCCAGTTATCGAGTGGGGCAAGGAGTACCAGCACAACGCGATCGTGTCAGTGGGGGCGACGGGATGTACTGGAAACACCGTCGTCACACTTCTTGAACGGCAGACGACAGGCTGGGGCCATGGCCACCTCCATCGACTCCAGCGGTAGCTGCGATACTGTTTGTGCCAGCGTCCACTGCCACCAAGGATCACTACTCGAAGGTCGAGCACCAAGTTGCATCGAAATCTTCATTCACAATTGACATTTTCATGTTTACGACGTTTCCTAGTTGCGCAACTTCCAACGGCCGGGACGAATACATGAACAATAGTGAATTCGTGTTTTTTCGCGATATATTCGTCAAATTCGACGAATTGGTCAAAAATGATTTGGAAATATATTCGCTGGTGTGTCTTTTTCGTGAGTTTTTTATTGGTGGATTTTTGCAGTGGTTTCACAACGTGCGATCTTCGCGGTGTGCATTCACCCATGCGCATCCAGCACGGCACCGTGGCGACTGTAGTGTTCCTGGCCAACGTCCTGGCATACGGCTTTCGGGGTCTGCTGCCGGCGACCCCAATGACGGTGCAGTCGTTCCTGCACGATGCAGTCGCCTCTCGAAGCAACACCGCAGGCGTGCCATCGTGGATGCTGTTTGGCGTGCTCGAGTCGACCTTTGTGGCCACGTACGCGCTCTCCTTCCTCGTATGCACGCATTTCTCGTTTGGTGGCCCATTACGGGTCTTGTCAGGTGGTTTACTTGTGTGGTGCGCCGGTGCCATGGTGTCGGGATATTTCGTCTCACACGACCACGCATACCGTTTTCATCTGGTCCTGGGTGGTCGATTGCTCAGTGGCATCGGCGATGGCATTTTGCAAGCGATGACGCCTGTCATTATCGAGCGAGAAGCCCTGCAAAAGCACCGGCAGCGATGGGTTCGGCTGTACTTTGCAGGGGCAGCCTTGGGGACAGGAATGGGATATGTTGTCGGCAACATCGTGACTGAAAGTTTTGGCTGGCACTGGGCATTTTATGGTTACTCGATCGCCATGGCACCGTTGATCTTGCTTTGTTTGAGTTGCGCCTCCATGCGTTGGGCACGTCGGCTGGTCAAGCCCCCAGCCGCCGCCACAGCACATGGAACCCTGGCAACGATAGAAGCCGACAAGGCAGTGTCTCTGCTTCGATCCCCCGTCTACATTCTCACGTCGCTTGGGGCCGCCTCGACGCTCTTTACACTTCGCGCGCTGTCGACGTACATGCCAGTTTGGCTCCGTGTCGGAGGAACCCTATCTGGCGAGCAAGCGGCTGCGATCGTGTACGGGGGGATTGCTACACTTGCTTCCTTGGTCGCCGCACCGCTGGGCGGTTGCATCTTGACGTGGGCATCTCGACGGTGCCTTACCGACGCCGCGCAGCTGCGAGTGGCCTGCCGCCAGCAGTTTCTTCACGTTTGCGTTGGATGTGGCTCTTTCTTGGCCATGTGGAAATTGTTGGACGATAGCACAGTTTGGAGCTTCGTCACGTTAGTCGTGGGCCTGGTCAGTGCATCGGGGGCCATGAATGCAACGTCGGTCGTGGTTTTGCTGAGCGTCCCTCTCGAAGGTCGAAGCCGAGCCATGCAGACGTTTGCAGTCGTCGTCCAAGTGTGTGGCGACATTCCAGCGCCTGTGCTTGTGGGATGGGCCATGGATGAGTGGACAGTGCCCACCTGCGCCACACCGGCCAACCCTGGCGTTTGCGTCGACGGTGTCAGCACGACTGTGTTTTGGACAGTCTTGTGGCTCTGGTGGGCGGTCGGAAGCACCTTCGTCACGTGGGTTCTCGCTACATTCGCCCCCCGCGTCTCCGACGACTTGTATGTGCAAGAGGCTGATGTGGAAATTGCGATGGCAGGTGCAGGTGGTAGTCTTCATGCGACCGCTCTTGGCATCGCTGCAGCAGAGCCATTCCAACGTTAAGACATTTTATATTCACAGCAAATACCATGAAAAACTCGCCGTAAAGTCGAAAAGGTAGAATTACAGAGCGACGGGACCAGTGCGAAATATTGCGTCGCAGCCGTCGGTCTGGTTTATCTCGAAATGCCCTTGGTCCCTAGCTCAATTCGACAGCTTCGCAGGACTCCGCGCTACTGTCATCGGATGGGCTGTACGTCGTCCGTTTTGGTTTCGTCGTCGCGATAGGGGCTGCTTCCAGCGTTCGATGACGCGCGCAGCGCTTCAATGGTTCGATCCCGCTGGAGTAACACATGAAAACGTCGTGGTTCGTGTGATTTTTGTAGGACGAAAGCGTACTTGTTCCAGTTCGACTTCGTATTTGGCAGCAAACTTGCGAAACTTGCTGCGCGATTGCTCCAATTGCTACCGTTGAAACACCGTCAACACCAGCATACCCGGATCACTCATTTCAGGCAGCGTCACAATTGGCGTCGTGAATCGCACCTGAATAGTGGCGTCCTGCCGACTCAGCCGCTCTTCCAAACGTCGACAACGCTCCTCGGCTTCTTGCAGTGATGTTCCGATACCTTGCGACTCTGGACTTGTCGAAGGACTGCTCCGGCGACTATGGCTGCTAGAGCTGCCATTTCTGCTGCGGTTGGTGGCCCTTTGTCGCCCCGACCCCACGGTCGAATCCGGCGTTAGTGCTTGGCCTGGCTGGTTAAGGGCTTGGACTAACGCAGCCTTGTCCTCTTGGTGCTGAGCCACCTGCACCTGTAGCGTTGCGACCTGGCTCCGCACAGTGGCCAGCAACGCCTCGAGCCTCTGTTTGTCCAACGTTAGTTGGTTCACTTGATTCGTGAGATCTGTTCGGTCATGCACACTGTTTTGTAGCCTACGGAGGGGATGTAAACAACCGCTAGTTGAGGAACGAGGCTGATGTAGCATGGGAGCGAATCAATACGCACTGCGCTTGGAGAGATGCTAGTCGTTGGTTCAAGGAGGAGTTGGTGGCGGCCGATTCGACGCGATCTTGGGCCAGCTCTGACGCAACTTGATGCTGCGAGTTCAATGCACCAGAAAGCAATTCTTGCGATCGAGCACACGACATTTGTTTGTCTACAACGACGTCAGGTGTCAAAACAGCCGAGCGAGACAACGACAAAATGTGGACCGTGGAGTTGCTGGAGCTGCAACGTGAGTTGCTTGATTTGAGTTAGGTTTACTTGGACTTCCATCTCGAGCTCCGACGCTTGTTTTACGGCGGCGTCGCGATCTCGGGTCACTTCTTGCAGCTATCGAGTTGAAGCCATTCAAAATTCACCGTGAGCAAACCCGTCCTTTCTTAAAACCAAGACGCTCCAACGACATGTTCAGTAGCAGAAACGATAATCCACAGAGAGTTCAGGCCCGCCTCATCGCGCGAACCTGTTGGCGAAGCGTTGCGTTGACATTTCCAAGTTCGTTGCGAGCGGCAGACAATTGACTTCGCGTGGCCTCTACCGCGTCCATCTCAACCACAAGGGCTCGATACGTTTGTTTCAAGTCGTTGAGCTCGATCTTGCACCCATCGCGCTCGCGTTCAATCTGGCGAATGTGCTGGTGCAACCCGCGCTGGTCGCCCGACACTTGATCTAGTCCATGCACCGTCAGTCTTTCGAACCTGCGTGTTTGAAGGCACATGTCGCAATCGGGGATGTAGAACCGTCAACCAGCAGAATGCCCAAATCCATCATCCCACTGGTGTATCTGATGGAATGCATGCAACACAGGACAACGTGAATGGCCACCGGTAAAGCCAAACGAGACCAAACAAACTGCTTTGCGACGCCAATATCCACATCAATTGGACTCACTGGGTCGCATCAACCACACGCTAACCCACATCTCTACCATTGTCGATCCAAAGTCCACATGTCCAAATTCCACAACAGCAGCGGCGGCGATTGCGAAGCGCACTTTCATACAACAGTCGCAAACAACAACGTCAACCGAATGACATGCACGTCAAAAATTCAGTACATGAATCAACGGCCGCCGTGGGGCACGACGAAAAAGAGATCGGTTCGTACCGAGCTCGTGGTGCAACTGGGCACACTCGCCAGCAAGCGACTGGTTTTCAATGGTCATGTGGTGCAAGTCTTGGGTTAGTGCCACGTGTTCTCCTTTGAGAAGGTCGACATCTTGTTTCAACGTGGCGGTGAGTTGGTCGGCTTTGTCGAGTTGGGCCTTTTGCGACGCCACCGTGGCTTCTTTGTCGAGCAACGCGGCGTCGAGTTTTCGCAACGCGGCTTGACACGCTTGCAGCTCTTTTCGTACAGCCGACTGTTCGTCCGACACGCGCGACAATTGCGAGTGCAATGCGCTTAGCTCTTCCGTCTTGATGTCGAGTGCGTGAATAAGTTGATCTTTTTCTCGATCCGATGCCTCCAGTATCGCCTGCATTTGACCAATCGTGGTCTTGTGCTGTGCCAGAGTTGCTTCGAGTTGCTCGCATGTGTCTTGCAAGTGGTGATTTGTGCCGCGAAGGTCGTTCATTTCGACGGCGAGCTGCTTGTGCTGGAGCGTCCAGTTGTCCCGGTTCAACTCCATTTCGGCCACCAAATGCTTGAGCTGACTGTTATCTTTTTCCAGTTGCACAGACTGACGGGACGCCTCCGACACCTCGGTTTGGAGCCTAAAGAAGAGCGATTGATGAATGAGCACAAAACGTAGCAACGGAGCCAACTGAAAGACTGGTTTGCCCAAGAGCGTGGCACCACTGCTCCACATTCGATACGACCACCGTGAGATCCGACCTACCGTTTTATCGTCGATTCGTTTGCCAACTGGTGTTCCTTGGCATGGCGCAACTCTTCTTGCACCAAAGTCCACTGCATTTCAAGCGTTTTCCTGCTGCTCTGCGCTTGACTGAGCAAGTTTTCGACATGATGGCCTGCGCAATTACCACACCGAGTGATTTCAGAGAGGCACAAGCAGTAGGTAAACAACGCAACAGGACTCCTTGTGCATGCGACCCGTGATCCCCTTTCTCACCACACACAGCATGCACACGAACAAACCACAATTTCGGCACTTGGTCACACCACAGGCACTCGACTTGGGTCGTCAAAGGTAGTGTCCTTGGTCACTTACATTTGGTTTGGGACGCCGTCAAGGCAGCTTGGAGGTCGTGAATCTGGCGCAGTTGGTCCTTGTGTGTTGAATCGGCGGCAGTTAATAGATGCTGCGACGCTTGAAAGTCCTTGGAATGGTTGGTCCATGCACGCATCGTGGCTTCGTATTCTGCTTCGAAGTACGCTTTGCTTTGCTTTGTTGACGTCAATTCGCTCTGCAAACTCGACACTTCCTGCTGCAACGTGGCCAGCGCCGAGCCTTTGTCGGCCAAACTCGCTTCAGCACTGCGTAAATTTGTCTCCATCTACATCGAAAACAGCACCGTATGAGGCCACTTTGATGCTCTGAACAATTATACGGGCTCGATGAAGCGAGGTATTGTCCTACACAAACAAGGCAATACCAGCTCCCTTCCGTCATGTTCACATCAAACAATTCATAAAGGACAAAAGAGTCGCCAATATATACCTGGCCCACACGCTGCTCCAAGCTAGCTCTGGCAGCTGTCGCCGCACTCAGTTGCGTTTCCACGAGCTGTTTGCTCAGCACAACATCCGTCAAACGCTTTTGCCACTTTGCATCTTGCATCTTCGCCGTTGCCTCTACGATTCGAATTCATGTCACTCCGCGCGACAGGACATGTCTTTGGCCCTCGCTGGCTCATCACGCCATGTCGATCCCATATTGGGCCGCGATTCAGCACCGACGTGAGCAGAAATTGTACCTTGGGGTGCCAGAAGCGTGAGCTTTTCAATCTCACGGCGGCTGTCGGCAAGTTGGGCCTCCAATTTCACCTTGTCTTGCTGCAATTGCACGACTTCGACCTTGACCTGCTTGAGCTGCGCCGTCAATTTCGACATTTCATCGAGTGTGTCGGTCATTTGTTCTTGGGTTTGGTCTGCCGTCTTCTTCCACACGTCGACTTGAACACGGGCGTCGGTCAATTGCGCTTCCACGTCCTTCTTTTGCACTTCTACGTGGCGAAGTCGAAGCTGCAGCGCATCGTAGTCTTGGCGGAGACGCAGGCGCTCTTCTGTATGGAGCGACGCCTGGGTAGACTGCACGTCGACCGCCCGCTGCGAATCGTGTAGTTGGTGCGCCTCCACTTGCTTGAGCCGCCGTCCAAGAGCCTGAGACTCGTCGAGGGCGGTGTCCAAACTCGCTTGCAACTTTCGGATCTGTCCGTCGCGTTGGTCGACAACCTTTTCCAACGCCGAGCACTCGCGACGCAACGTCTCTTGCCCATTCAACGCAATCTGGTGGTTTGCCAACGCGTGGCTCAATTTGTTCTGCAACGTGGATAGCTCTTGCTCCAACGTCGCCCGTTGGTGCGACCAGTGTTTGGCCTGGCTCGTGGCGTCTGCCAGTTTCTCGACAACGGCGTCGTGTTTCGGCTTGAGCTGACTCAACTCTGTCGTCAGGACTTTCACGTGGGCCTCTAGGTTGGCCACAGAGTTGGCCGACGAGACTTTGTCGTAATGGGTAACCTTCAACGCGTTCTCGAGCCTCTACAATGGAACCAAACGGCATAACACGTCCGACTCAATTCGTTCTAGTGACGGACGCATGTCGTACCGCAATTTGCTCAACGTTATCCTCAAGTTGCTGCTTCAATTGAGCAATCGTGCCGTGGTTCTTGTCGGATTCGTCGCTGAGCTCCTTCTGCACTGAGTCGCATAAGAGATGTTGCTGCTCTACCAAGTGCAGTTTGTCTTGGACGGTGCGGAGTTGCTCCGCGTATTTCGCATTCAGCTCTTCTGCATGTCTACATTAAACACATTTCAACACGTCACCGCGGGCGAAACAACTTGAAATCGTTCTTGGATAACGCAACAAGTTCCCATACGAATCGTCGGGCCAAGCGAAAAAATCGTGGAATTCATGGGGGTGCTGGTTGCAATTGCCACGGATGTAAGAATGGCCACAGAGAAACACTGGCATCAACGTGCAGCTCTACACTTCTCGCAGCTGTCTCCGTACGGAATCGCCAGCGAAAAAAGGGGCAATTGGCGAAGACAATTTGAATCCGGCATTCAGGCAGACAACACAGACGACCTTACCTGAGCTGCTCTGATACTTGGTCTAGACGTTGCCGGGCTGGCGCGGCTTCGACGAGTTTCTTTTCGTATTTGGCCACTTGGTCATTCAGCAAGTCGACCTGGCGCGTCAATTGCTCCTTTTCCAATTCCTGCGCAAGTTGCCCCGCTTCCAAGTCGTACTTTGCTTTCACCTATCGATTGATGGCCAAATTTCAGGGTTTGAAATCGCACGGCAACGTCGAAACTCTCTCCGGCAATCGATACCGTGCAACAGTACCATTGCGTAGTCCTTTGTCGACACGCTCTCGTTGAGTTGGTTGCCAAGTCGTTCGATTTCCGCTTCCCGGGCTCGAACTTGACCTTCAAGCGCCGCGACGCGATCTTGTAGCGCTTTGTTCGCTCGAGTTAACGCGTCGAATTGCTTAGATGACCTGTCTCGTCGATTCAACAACGTGCCATGGTGACGGAGGACGGGGAGAACGTACGTGTCGCCATCGTCGAAGATAAAGGAAGATGCGGCGCCAGCTGAAGGTGCAGTGCCAACCTTGCGTTCGACGGGCGGTAGGAGTTTGTTAAGTTCAATAGAGTCTTTCGCTGACGACACAACGTTTTGCTCCTGTTTCGAGCTCTGGAGGCGCTCCACCTGCGCGTACAACTTGCTCAAGTCGGCGTCTTTCTTCTGTAGTTGAGAAGTTTTTTGTGTGTTGAGAAACTGGAGTTCTTCGATCTTGTGCTGCAGTTCCTTTTCCTGCAAGTGCATGGCCCGCGTCTTCTCCTCCATCTCTTCCTGAATGCGAATCATCTCGAGATGCAACGCATTGTTCTCCCTCGTCAGTGCATGGTTGTCGCGTTGGAGCACCACAAAGCTCTACATCAACACGTTTGTTCATCAGAGAGGAGCGCGCGACGGCCACGATGGACGCACCGCTTGCGACATTGCCGGCTGCGGTCACCCGATCTATTGGCGCATTCAAGATACAAATCCATGCAAGTTTAATCTTCCTTTTTGTATGTACCGGACTCGATTTTAATTCATTGCTGAGTTTGAAATTCAAATCCGAGGTTTATTTTAAAATATTTCAAAACAACAACATGCCGTTTTAAAATATTTACAATGCTGTTAAGTAACCCAACAGAATACCGTGTGCATAAAACACCGCTCGTACACTAACGAAAGATTGGGGTGGTTTGCCGCAAGTGATGTGCGGTGTCTAGGCTTTGCTTAAGGCATTGAGTAAGCATTCATGCTTCACCATTCCGCTTCCAAAGTAGTATGAACGATTGAAGCGTTTACACGTTGCATGGAAGTAATGACAACAATTTCAGACTTCAATACTGTAGAATTTCCAAACGTGTTTCTGTTTTTTAGGCACTTTTGATATATATTTGCATTACTCCTGGGAAATATATATACTTTTTGCTCGAATATTTGGTGCTTACCCTAAAGTGATACAAGTTCTCATCAATCCAGACAAGATGCTATCCAACACCAAAGAACGACCTGACCCCTCGTCGCACTCGCCATTCCTCCATCATGCACATGTTGTCATGCAGCGTAATGTCGTCCATGCTCGTGAATCTGAGCGCAGCGGCGGGGTCCTTCCTGGCTATCACACTGTTCTTCTGGCTGGTGAACTTCCGCTCGCTGTCGTTGCGATGGTTCATCTTTGAGATCCTGGGTCGGCTCAAGGGGGTTCCAGTCGTGTGGATCGAATGTCCGCTGGCAGCGGCGAGGGTCATGAAGGGCTCGTCCGACAAAGGCGTATTCCTTGAACGCACCTTCTCGACACCAGCGTGGCTTCCACTGCTCTCGATAGAGTCCGTGGACGGCCCACAATGGAGGTCTATGAAGGCCAACCTGGTCACGTTCATGCAATCGCTGCCCCCCATGGCAGCGCTGCAAAGCATCACACAGCGCGTTACTCTAGAATCAATGGCGACACTGGACTGCGTGAACGCTGATGCGATCGCGTCCATATCGGTGGCGGCCTTCTTCGAATGGATCTTCCAGTTCAAAATGCCGACGGCACTGCGAGATTTGGTGACTGCGGCGTCGTGGGAGTGGCGCAAGGAAATAGCTCTCAAGGGCGTCGGGGACATGGCTCTCAAACGCAAAGCTGTGGATGCGATCGTTCTCGAGATCTTGGCGGCGCCACACGTGTGCAATGTGTTTGGGGCGGCGCAGTGGCTTCAGCCCGAGTTCCATTCGCTACTCCTTCAGCCATTCCTGATCTCCCCAGCGATAAACGTTGCCGACGTTGCCGTGCAAGTGCACCGCCTGACGACCGTCGACCCGACTCACTATCCTGACACCATGCAACAAGCAACGAATCTCATCCATCTCGCGATCGACACGGCCCATCCGTTCGTGCTCTTTGAGCGCTATTTACCCGAGGGCCTGCAAGACGACGTCGTCAACATCGCGCCACGAACCCATGTCTTTATGCCTGTGGACGTTATGAAAACGGACGCGATCATTCGGTTCGGCGCGGGGGCTCGCAAATGCCCCGGGGCGCATCTAGGCATGGCGTGCATGCTCGGGCTCTTTACAAAAGACGTCCTCGGCCATGCCAAATTCCAACCCCATGTCGGCCATTTGTACTCGGGACGTGACCAGGATGGCCAGGAAACGATGTACGAAACCCTCTACCAAGGTCGCCAGGCTCTGCATGCGATGCGGGATGCGCTCCAAGATCGGCTCGCAAAATTACGATGGACGAAGTAAGCCGTACGGCTCTCTTCGTTGTAACTTATCCAGTGGCGTTATGAGGTTGTCGAAAACGCTGCCGCCGTCGTTCTCGCCACAATTACGTGCGAGCTCCCGGGCCGCCCCAAATCAAACCACTGCTTTGATCCTGTTCATATTGGCTATGCACCATGCATTCCCGGCGCAACATATCACGGACCTACCCACCGACACGTGTGCTTGTGTTCGCTTGCAGGCATGGCGTTTGTCTTGGATGGTCGAGGAAGTGTACAAAAAGAATTTTTATTCCCATTATCCGCCAAAATTGTCTTTTTATGCAAGATTTATAATTTAATTTTATCATTTTACCAAAATAAGAAATATATTTCAATTTTTTAGTTCGTTTTTTAATTCGTTTTCTCATATTTATTATTGTTTTATTTGACATTTTTAATCTTTAATTTTCAATTCTTTATTTCAAATTTTAAATTTTTTAAAAGGTTCATCTAATTTAAATTAAAAGAAAATTTGTTTATTAAATAAATATTTAAGAGAAGATAATTTTTTGAATATTAATATGTAGATTATAGAAAAGGAATTCTTTATTTATTATAGCAGATATTAATAATAAAAATGATATATTAATTAATCTAAACGCCATGGCATGCTCGATTCCACAGGCTCGTGCAAACTGCCGTGCAAGTCACGCTCACCTTTGCATCTCGCCCACAGGTTGGCGCGATCGACGTTCAGAGGGGCCGATGGTTGAATGGAAAACGCAAGTGTCAACGTTGTTGGGCTCATTTCGATTCCACTATCTCGAGAGTCCTGCTGCCATGCGCTGGCGACCTTTCACGTGGTTGTACACAGCGCAGTCATGATTTCGCGGCTTGTAACAGCCACACACGCAGCACAGACTGTGAATGAGGCTCGGACCGTGCACCTTCAAGTAGTCGACGAGGTGGTCGTGGCCGTTGGCGATCGCGCCGCGCAAAGCAACGTCGGTGCACCCGTCTGTGCGGCGCGAATGGAGGAATTGCACGACGTCGAGGTGACCAAATGTCGCGGCCGTGTCCATGGCGTCGATGGTGCAGCCGGCTCGAGGGGATTTGTCCAGGATGTATCGCAGAATCGAGACGTGACCGCCTCGCGCTGCTTGGGTCATGACGTGGCTGTCCCGCCACAAGTGCTTTCGATGCGCATGGAACCATTGCACCACGTGGACGTGACCATGTCGAGCGGCCATGAGGAGGCCCGTTGTCGTGCATCCTTCGGATCGATGCAAGTGGAGAAATTGCACCGTTTCCAAGTGGCCGTGGGCTGCGGCCGCGTCCATGACGTCCGTGGACCACACGTCGTCGCATTGGTGCGTGTGGAAAAACTTTAGAATGTCGAGATGTCCGCCCGCCGCCGCGCCGACCATCGCTTGAGGGCCTAGCGACCGCGCCAAGGTCGCGTGCAGGAATATCACAACATTCAAGTGTCCATGCGTGGCTGCCGCCACCATGGCCGACTCTTGGATCGTGCCAAGTTGTCGGGCTTGCAATTTGCAAATCGACGCGACTTGGCCACTCATGGCGGCGATCACGATCAAGTCGTCCGAGTCATGGAGAACTTTTGCATCGTCGCCCAAGGCATCCACAAGATGAAACCAATGCGGCGTGGCGATGGCAAAGATGACGGCAACACGGCGTATGGCTGGCAAGACTTTGTACAGTCGAGGAAGTAGATCATGTCCGTGCAGGGCCAGCCACGGCGTTAGCAACGATTGAATGGATGCTATTGCGTCCAACGTGATGGGGTGGGGCGCTGTTCCGTATTGGGCCAGAGGTACGAATGCTTCAATGTACCCATGTTGAAACAGCGCGATCGTGGCCAAGAGGTCGCGGCATGTCAGGACTTCTCGCTGCAAAGTGGCAAGGCATGTCGACATCGTTGGGCTTGCTCGATTCGACAGTGACCGTTGCTCTAGTCGTGGAATTCTCGCGTCGCCGCTATTGTTCGGAAGGTAACGAACGACCAGTGAAGGTTCATTGTGGCATGGACAAATCTGTCTTCTCGCAGTGCGGCGGACGCATGCAATTCTCGTTCCTCAACAATCTCGCAATGCCACAAGCCATGAGGACGCCGCAGCGACGTCCATTCGGTCATCCGACGCCACGTGCGCACGGCACGGACATGGAATTGCACGGGCAAGCACTCTTTTCCAAAGAAAGCGTGAGTTGGTCATCGCACGTGCACAGCCCTCGTCCACCTTGAATGGCTCGAGGCAGTTTGAAGGCTTTCACGCGGGTCAATGGCATCGTTGAGAGTTGCCAAGTTGAGCAGGTGAATCATCGAGTCTCACTTGCGGCTTGACGACGTCTTGTTGACGATAAGGCTGTGCCCCGCGGGTACAGATAGGAGCTAGTGACCTGTCATTGTACTGGCACTTCGCTCCAGTTCCCGTGGTTTCCTGGAAAAGGCGACGCACGTTCTCCTTCCCCCAGCAGCGAGTGCCAAGAGTGCGGCGCTCCAGAACGAGCCGACGCCACGTTATCTCGTCGTTTGGGACGGTTATTCGTGGAAACGACGCCGTCGCATCTCGCACTGGCGTCTCAAACGGCCGTCGCGGCCGCATGCGCCGCTGGCAATGTTGACACGTCATACACATCCAATTACAACGATAAATACCCTAGCATTCATGACAACAGCGACATCGTGGGTGGACATTGTCACATGGACTTGACGAGGCATGCGTGGCGACGAGGCTTGTTGAACCCGCACGCGCAGCACACACCGTGAATGAGGTCGTCTCCATGTTTGAGAAAATACGCCACGACATGGGTGTGTCCGTTTCGAAGGGCGCCGGCGAGAGCTTTGTCCGAGCATCCGTCCTTGCGGTGGGTGTGGAGGAACTTGACGACGTCCAAGTGGCCGTTTGTCGCCGCCAGGTCCATTCCAAGCACGAGGCAGCCTGCACGGGGCCGTTTCTGTAGTAGAAACGCCAGGATGTCGACATGGCCGCCGGCCGCGGCATGCGTCAACGCGTCACCGTGCCATCCTTCCTTTCGGTGGTCGCACAGCCATTGAACCACGTGCAAGTGGCCGCCGGCCGCTGCGAGCGAGATCGCCGCCTTGGTGCATCCCTCCCTCCGATGGGCGTGCAAAAACTTCACTACATCCAAGTGTCCATTGCCCGCAGCTCTGTCCATTGCAGCCGTCGTGCAGCCTTCGCGGCGGTGGAGATGGAGGAACTCGACGACGCTTAAATGCCCTTGACTCGCCGCCACGTCCATCAAGTCAGTTGTCTGGCGGTCATGGCGGTGGCGATGCAAATATTCGACAACGCGAAGGTGGCCTTTCGATGCCGCACCAACCATGGCGTGACTGATGGCGCGGCCACAGGCGTCCGTTGCGTCAATTTGGCTCAACAGGAAGGCCACCATGTCAACTTGCCCTGCCAGAGCGGCTACGTAAACCAGCGCCGCTCCCTCGTCATTGGAATTCTCGCTTCGGGGACACTTGTTCCAGATCATTTCGAGCAGTTCAATGTCGCCCACGGTGGCGGCGTAGTCAGTGACCATCGGCAGCATTGCCGGGACCATGGTGATCACGTCGGGCAGTCTGTCTGCGCAATGCACCTTGAGCCAGTCGCCCAGAACTTTGCGAAACCCGGTGAGGGCATCGTTTTCGTCGTCTGCGGCCGTGCGATGCAAGGCTCGAATCAACGGCACCACGTCATGGTGGACTCCATTTTGGAAGGCCGTCACGCGGGGCAGGAGGTCCGCGGAGAGGCACACCGACGACGCTGCCGAGCACATCCGAGTTGAAAAGTGAGAGGAGTGGCGTGGAGGGAGATCGTTCTGGCAAGCGAGTGTGGCGCCCGGGAGGTGTTTCATTTCGAAGCAGAGTATCTATCTCGTGTAGATCGACTCGAAAACCGCTGGCCGGTGCGCCAACGACCCACGTCGGGTCACACTCTACCACTGTCCAAGCATGTGAAAAGAGGCAGATGCAGCGTCGCATCGAGCGGCGGTCTTTTGAAGGCACGAGGGCGGCGGCGATGCACCTCGTCGGTCGTTTCGAGGGTGCCGCCGTCATGGCCCACATCGAGCGGCCAGCTCGTTGACGGCAAGATCGCAAGACGTAACTTACATCGCGGTGTAACGTTTCGAGGGGCGAGTAAATCCCTTATTTGGCGGTATGTGTCGGATTTATACTAAGTCTGGCTGCTCGTTGTATGGTGGAGCAACGAAGTGTGGCTTGTTTCTCGAGTGGCTCGTGTGCATTCGACGCTTTCCAGGTCAGTAGATACAAGGTCTATTTCAGCGCTGGAAATCTCGCCCATGGCAGTGGCATGCGCACCGTCGGCCAAGGACGTCTCGGCTAAACAATTTCATCGGGGCTCGCACCTCGTAAAAAGACAGCCAATCAGCATGGATGGTTTCACATTCCTGTCTCCGGATTGGTCCATGTTGAAACGCCCATATCAACGCGGCTGTCGTCGTCTCGTTCGCAGCGTTCGATATCCCAGCCATAGTTGAGTGACGGGGTTTCATTCGAAAAACAAAGTCCAGCGGTCGCCCACACGGGGCTCGCGCGCGCGGCGCGGGACAGCCACGAAGACGTCTTTCTGCACAGACACTTTTGCCATCATGAGGCGAAGTGTCGGCAACGGCATCTGCGCACCAACCGATGACTCAGAATACCTGTGGGTCGTGGAATCCGTTGGTTGCGGCTGCCGCGCAACGTATGCAACGTTAACCAGAACGAACGCGGTGAGAGCCACGAACAACTACTCTTTGATCGCATCTTGAAGAAACTACGAGCGGAAATCTGAGACAAAACCTGGTGTCACGGACGCCGCCGTGGCACCCACGAAGTACCACAGCATCGCAACTGCGACACGAAAACACATTGTGTCTCGAGCGGTCTCGATGCTTTCGACATGATCGGACAAGTCAGTTGTGTTATGTGCTGTGATGGCGTCATCGCACGGGCTTTGTGTTGATGTCGACTCGGTCCACAGAATCGCAAACGAAATTGTGGTCGAAAGATGACACGGCCGACAGTCGCTCCTCTGCGATCCGTTCTAGAGTCGTTTCCCGTTACCATGTTAAAACGTGTTGTCTCTCGATATCCTGACCCTGCTGCCGCGACTTGATTTGCCCGTCGATCCTAGGCCGCGTAGCGCTCGTTCGCTCTGGATGCGTTACACCATGCAACAGCATTGTCGTACTGAGCTGCATTTGGCTGAATTCTTGAGCGGACGTGCTCCTGTGGCCGCATTTCATGGTGTACCTTCGACTGACATCCTGCTTCAGGTCCTCTGCATGACACTGCGTGCCTTGGCGCCGCTTTGGCCGATGCAACCGACCACAACGACGAGGAAAGATGTTTATAACGGAACGATATTATGTTACGTCGCTGGAGCCAACGTCGCAACCCCGAACACGCCACCGTCACCGAGCTACTCTGGTCAAACGTCTGTATGGGGTACTCCACAATATTCCTCCATGGAGTTTTGGACAGGCAAGAAAATTCGCCCCGTCCACCTCCCCGTTTTCGAACGCCCTCGACGACTCGAGTTCTATTTAGATCCTCGACCTTCTCAACGCATCGAGCGAAGGCTCATCCTCCCCTATTCATGGCACGTTAGGATGACGTACTCACCCTTGAAATTATCATGACGAGGCCGACTCTCGTCGAAGGGATTCGAAGGTCTCCACTTGGGAAAGGCTATGACGAGGTTTGATAATGGGGCGGCATGTTCCAAGGCAAGAGAACCGACGCGCGGACTGTGTCCAACTTCCCATCGCAAGATGATGAATCGTACGAAGTCCAGTCAAGAACAGAATTGCATTTTTCTCTCCTGCCCCAGCTGCGCGACGGAATCATCCGCAACGGTTGATGGACAACGCATGCCCCTTGTGGAAATCCAGTTTGTGCAGTGTCGGCCGACTCGATTGCCACGGATGTGCTGGTGGTGCGCCTTCTGCTCGAGAGCATGGCTGACGGGGAGTACTTTTGTTTTCAAACCCATGACAGATCGATATAACACGCTCGGACGCTGGAAATAAGAGCGTAGGAACGAGGGGGTTGGCGGATGCGGCAGGGGGGGCGACCTTGATTCGGATCCGCCGCTGCGTTCGCCAGCGTTGTGAACTCCCTGGAAAACACGGCAGAGTGCTAAAAATGTGTGCAGGCATCGTTACGTCTAAGCACATTCGAATAGTCGCTACTGCAGAGCCACAATGCACGTGACGACAGCAACGAGAAGAAGCCTTCGTAGTAGGGCCGCACACACATTGAACGGTACCATGGAGTCGTCCCAGGTCATAAACGAGAGCAAGTAGTAGCAGACCGCATTTCGTAGCTACCGTGAGGACCACAGGTCGCCAAGTAATGCCAAGACGAACTTCTTGCTAAAAGCACTCACCGTCGTCCAACATGGCATTACCCGCAACATCCTGGGACGCCATCGAAATGCACAGCGGAAAGCCGTTGTACCTGAGTGAGTCGTACTCGACAAAAATTTATTGCTCGAATACCAGCAACATGTTCATTGGAGACACATACGAACGCACATAATTCCCTGAAATGAAGTTGATATCTGACCATCCATTACGTGCAGCCGATGATGCGCGTTGTAAATCCACGACCATACAGCTTCTCACAGTCAAAGCGTTTTGTCGCCAGAAATATCTGAGACAGTTCTTGAGCTCGGCTCTCCATTGTGCGGCTAATGCGTTGCCGACGGCACGTAGATGGTCGAATGGATCGACGCCGACTGTAAAGTTGTCATGGCTATGCCTGTATAAAGATGAAGAAACGAAATTGAAAGAGTTGGCGATGACATTTTGATGCAGGTACGACTGTGCACACGGGACCTAATGGGCCATGTCTGCCAGCTGAGCGTTCAATGCGAAAGATGTGTGCACGAGCCGTGGATTGTCTTGATTCTCACGAAGCTCGATTTGTAAACAATCGGAACATCCATTCAATTCGATGCCATCGTCGTTCGAGGCCCCTGTGAGCCTCCTCGAATGGCGGGAACGTCCGCCTACCACCTCCAGAGCTCCGTAACAATTATTGCACGCCATCTGCAATGCCCGTTTCCTAAAGTACTCAGCGACGTTTGTTGGCCCAAACCCGTCGGCCGTTACGGATTCAACCAATCGCAGCCTTGTTTGGTGACCACGACCCCAACGGTTTCGTAGCCGTTACGTTTGAATGCGTCAAAGGGCAGCCACCAGCGCAACGCTCTTTGTACTATCCACGACACAAGAGAGAGTTCTTGGACTCGATTGACCTCCTCGTCTTATTCAACGTTGAACAATTCGCAAGTCTCGAGCAAGTGTTGGTTGCCATAGAATGCTACCATTGCCAATTCGAACCCACAGAGTGCCGCAAATGGCTTGGGACCAATCCTTATTGCTTCGACGATGGGTGGGGTATAGTGCAGTGTTGATGGATGGTTTAGGTCATTCGCACCGTGCACGACGCATGATGGGCTGCTGTCATGAGAGTGTCCTTGTGGGAAACCGGCCTTGCCCGATGTCCACAATGGACTTGCCAGGCAAACAAATGCGACACAAGCATCCGGTGCTAGATTACGACCCTGCGGGATATCGACACGCGGCGATGGTACGTACGTTGCTGTTCGTTGGCAAAGTTCGCTTCTGTACGTAACGCAATTGCCCAGGTATATGTTCACATCGATATGTCTGACTAGGAATGCTACCTGTGTCCAGAATGCGACGTGCTGAGGCAAGCTCATCTCACCAGGAGCTTGAGTCTATACATCACAGTTTCCAACGTATGCGCTTTCAATCAAGGGGTAGAAAGCACAACCTATATTGGCTGCGCCGCCTCGCTGGGTGACGTGTGAACCGAAGGATAAAAATGCCCTCGTTTGTCGCTCACAGCCTGACGACATTCGATGTGATAAAAAAGCATGTGCAGCCCGGCCGGCGCCGTGGGGCGTGCCGCACTCTTTCCTCAGGTGCACGTGCTGAATTTCAGAGTGGCACCCCGCGGCACGCAAATTTGGGGCAGGGTCTTGTCCTTTCGTGCGCATCCATCTCGCCCACCACGCAACGTCAAAAACTCAGTGTGAACACCAAAGACCTGTGTTTGCGCGTCAACGCTTGGTACTCTCTAGAGCTATAGTTGGGGATCTCTGTGGATGGCTCGGGCCGAGTGAAACCAAGCAGAACCAGGTCCTTTTAATCGTACGACGTGGCAAACTCCATCAAGAAGGACAAGCTCCATTTTTCTGGACGCGATCGACAGGACCGATGACAAGTCCGACGCCATCGCCAAGCGAGAATTCTTGATGGGACGCCTCACAGGGTTGGTTTTTTGACGTGCCAACCTTTGTTGGTCCCCGTGCCCATCGGCCAACGCTTGTCTGCGTGGCAAGGGTCTCTTCTTCTGCGGACAGGCCTGGCGTGCATCAAATCCAGGACATGGACCCCCGTGCAAACCGAATTCGCCAACACAGCAACGGTACAGCGACGACAACCGCAAATTGCAACAGTTGTGATTCCGTCTGGTGGGTCGGTTCTGTCTGGCCCCAGCCAAAAAGAACACGTTGGAAAATCAGCGGCGTGTACTGTATGAACGGTCCATCCATCACCCATGCAAAACCTGCTCGCCATGCAGTGTGTCGACGTAGGCTACGGCATTGATGCTTCTTGTCGTCGACATGCGACCTGTTGGCGACGTCGATGGTCGCTTTCGTTGGCGCTGCAAACACTGACGTCCTGGCCACGACGACAGGACGGCATACAACGGATGCGATTGCGAACAGTTATGGTCCTCTCTCCGACCGTGAGCTGTCTCTCCTGTAAACGATGGTCGTGCTACAACTCGGCCAAGTGCGAATATGACGAGCGTTCAAAGGTTTGTGGGTCTGGGCAATGGCAATGCCAAACGGCGATCGGGGCCGTGCCGGGGGACGGATGTGCTGTGCAGAAGCTACCGCACCGCGAAGCAGCGACAACCAGTCCCCATTGCTCTCGTTTGTCTTGGTGCCTTGGGCATATTGGTTATTTCGCCCCGATCCCATCGCACGGGTTTCAGCCCCTCGACACATTTCTCGGTGGATCGCATTAAATAAGCTATTTCCTTAAATACTCTATACAGTCGGCACTAGTTTAATGGCATGACGGCACCTTGCACGTGTGGTTGCGCGGCTTGTAGTACCCGCACGAGTTGCACAGCGTGTGGATGAGGTGGTCTCTGTGCTTGTGCAAGTACTCGACGACGTCCTTGTGGCCGTTTGCAAGAGCGCCGTGAACTGCCTTGTCTGTGCACCCTTCGTGTGGTCGTTGGGCATGTAAGAATTGAACAATTTTCAAATGCCCGTTGGTGGCGGCAGCATCCATGGCCTGTTTTGCAGCGCCTAGGCGAGGCTTGACCTTTTGCAAGTACAAGAGAACGTTGTAGTGGCCGCCCGCCGCCGCCAGCGTCAATACGTCCGCGCTCCACGCCTGGCATCCGTTTTCGTGCAGCCATTGCACGATGCGCACATGGCCAGTGGCCGCAGCCATGCGGAGGGCGGATTTGGTCGCGTTCGCGCTCTTGAGATGAACACACAAGAATTGCACGACTGCTAAGCGGCCGTGGCCCGCCGCGGCGTCGATCGCGCGTGTCGCTTGTTTTTGGTGAGGTCGCCGATGTTTAGCCAAGTATTCCACTACGTTCAAATGGCCATGCATGGCAGCGACGACCAACGCCGCGCTCGTGCCCGACTCGTACGCCACGGCATGCAACTGGACAATCGCGTCAAGGTGGCCACTGGCAGCCGCGACGGCGACGAGGTCGTCATGGTCGTCAACGTTCAAATGGAGTGTGTCCATGATGTGTTTCTTGCCGGCCGCAATCGCATGTAGGATCACTATTGGCGTCAACTGCGGCAGGGTTGCCAGCAGCAGCGGCAGTCGCGCGTCGCCGTGGGTCGCGTACCATTGCTCAAAAACGTGGCGAACGTGTTGCGGCTCGGCCTTGACCAATGGCACCATGTCTTCGAACACGCCTCGCTGGTACGTAACCACGCACCGCATGAGGTCGGAGGAGTGGAGGATGCTGCTGGGGGGCCGCATGCCGATCGACTACTTGTGTCTCGCACGTTTCCAATTGACGCCATCGCGAGCAAGTCCGGGCATGGACCATCATTCATGGCCAGTGGGAATGTATGTTTTCAGTTGTCGTGGAAACGACCACGACGGGATGGCGGTCGCCCACGAGAGAAACGAGGGGCCGAGGGATGCGGCGGCGGTGGGGCATGAACGCCACAAAGTCGGAGAACGATTGGGATGAGGATGCTATGTACGGTTGGCCTCTCTTGCTTGTGCATGCAGTCGGTCAAGGCGACGACCCACGGGGTTTGGATCGTGTCGAGGCGAAGGCGCCGAGTCGTTCGCACCGACAAAAACGGTGGGACGATCTTGTTTCGAACGGTCACGGCGGCGAAATCAACGTGTGGTGGCGGTCGCGCCGGCCTCTGTGCCGCGCGCCGTTGTGTTGAAAGGATCGGCTTTCAACCGCGTTCACGGGGGCGAACAATGCGGCCACTCGGAGATGCTACCATCGACTTTTGCGGCGAGCCTCGGTTGCGCGAGCAACAGGTCGTGCGCTTCCTGCATCAATGCACAAGGGCGATTGGGGGTGTCACGTATATTTTCGAAACGCTGCTGGTCTACGTCCTTCTTGAACAGGGATGCCGAGGAAGGGGGCATTCTCTCGCGCGGTGGCTTTCTATTCTAACTTGTCTGGACGTCGCTGGTGGTGGAGTGCGTTGTGCGTGCATTGGAGCTCGTTCGTTGTCGTCGTTGTTGTGAGGGGCGAAGAGAATGGCATGTCTTCACGACCCCGCCACTTTGCACTTGTGGTTGCGCGGCTTGTGAAAGCCGCATGCGCTGCACATTGCATGGATCAACTGGTCACGATGCATCGTGAGGTACTCGACGACGTCCTTGTGGCCGTTCGATGCGGCGCCTTCGAGCGCCTTGTCCGTACACCCGTCTTCTGGGCGATAACAATGTAAAAATTTGACGATGTGCAGATGCCCACTCGTGGCGGCGCTGTCCATGGCCTGTTTTGAGGCACCGCGGCGGGGCTTGACACGGTGCATGTACGCCAACACGTTCAAGTGGCCGCCTGCTGCTGCCAGCGTAAACGCGTCCGAACTCCAATCGTGCGCGCCGCTTTCATGCAGCCATGCCACAACATGCAAGTGACCATGGGCCGCCGCCATGCGGACGGCAGCTTTCGAAGCGTCGGCGCTCTTGAGGTGGACGTGCAGGAACTGCACAACGTTGAGATGTCCGTGTTGGGCGGCGGCGACAATCGCGCGCGACGTCTGTTGTTTGCTTGACCTGCGGGTGCTGACGAGGTACTCGACGACATTCACGTGCCCGTGGGTGGCCGCCACCACCATGGCCGCGTTCGTGCCCGACATGTACTCCATCGCGTGCAACTGAACAATTGCCGCGACGTGGCCAGTGGCAGCCGCCACCGCAACGAGGTCGTCGTGGTCGTCGATGGTCAAGTGGAGCGCGTCCAGCACGTGCATGTGGTTGGCCGCGACCGCGTGGAGGATCACGAGTGGGGCCAGGTGTGGCATGTACTTGAGCAGAAGTGGCAGCCGCGCGGCGCCGTGCGCGGCATACCACCGTCGATATCGGTGGCGGGTGTCGGGAGCGGGTGACACTAGCGGAAGCATGTCTTGGAGCACGCCGCGCTGGAACGCACCGATGCACTGCATGAGGTCCGTCGATACGAGGACTCGTTTTTCGACCATCACGTCTGTTGAAGATATTTCGGAAAGTGGTGCAAGCGAGAAGCTCCCACTTACCATCATTCAAAATCGAGACAGTCGACAGCCGGAATGTGTGTTGCCAACCTGTTTTGTACACGGTATCTGAGACTTTTCGCCATATTTCAAACGTTGGAAAAAATCGTGGACGACACACACAGGGGAAGCAGGGGGGGCGGCGGCAGGCGAGGGATGGCTTCGAGGGAGAGGGGGGGGTCGTTGCCTCAAGTGGACGACGATCTTTTCGTGGCTGACGAGGGGGACGGCCCTGGGGGGGAAGGGTGGACAGGGAACGGCTGCCGTGCCGACGACGACGAAGGTTTTCGTGGCGACCGATCCATGGGACGAACGAGTGGCATCGAGTGAGCACAAGAGTGGCGCACGATAAGAACGAGGACGACACCTCGACACTGCATGCTACCACGGTCTCTCCTTGGTGCCCGACATGAACAACGTTTCGAGTTAGCAATGATGGATTCCAGGCCATCGCTGGTGGTTGAACCCCGTGGACCTGTGAGAGCCATCGAACGACGCGGACGAAGCAGCTGCGGGGACGCACCACCACCCGGTGCGAACATCACGACCGAAACCACTCGACGGCGAAGGTCCAGCAGAGATGGAATCTTCCAGATCGACCATCCCATGTTCTCGCGCGGGCCATCTTGTTTTCGGGGGCGAATCGTGGCGCGACCCATCACCACGGAGGGCTCACACAAACATTCTACAGTCGCACCCCGTGGATGCGCACACACTGATGGTACGTGACCAAAATTTAGCGCTTATAGTCCTGGATGCGCACACCCTCCTGCGGTCGCTAGGTCGGCCGCCCCTCATCCCATGCGTACGATCGTTGTTGGAATCCAAGTCCATCTGCTTGTTGCTCCCCGGCGCACGCGAACGAGACGTGATGGCCTCTCAAGGCCACGTTGGTCCCGGTGGTCGCATGGAAGAACGCTTCCAAGGGTGCCATGTCCCTCATGTTGGTGGTGGTGGTGCACGTGGCGGTGAAGTCGTCGGCAGACAGGCGTGTCGAGCACCGTAGGGCGGCTTCTCAACATCCGTCCTTTATATATATATCGGCATCGTGACTTGCCAATCAGACGAAAACACATCCAATCGTTGTGTCGTCTTTTGTAATTTGAAGCGGCAGCCGCCGCCGCCACGTAGATGGCATGAAAAGCCCGAGCAATGTCGATGCCAAATATCACGTACAACACACCGACATGCATCCCCCGTTCGACTAGCGTGCTGCTGCTCTACTTTGCCCATGCATTTGTTCACGCATGCGACAAATACGACGTTGTAAAAATCGCGCACATGCCATCACAACGACGACCGGCCTGCGGGCGAACAACGTGAGGTTGGAGTCGTCTGCAGCGCGCCCGCGACGACGTCTGCACATGCGTCGCGTTGTCCTACGCGCAGTCCGCGACGTCGCGCGCACTCGATGGTCCAGGGACACCCTCACGATCCAAACCAACTGGCCTTGCGTGTGTTTGTGCTGTGTTGCGAATACCACCATGGATACCAAGTTGACGACGGCGAGCGCCGCCGCAAGTGCGTGTGGTGGCGGGTGCCCTTGTCGCCGTGCTGCACGAGGACAGCGCGTGCTGAAATTAAAAAAAACTCGACGACGGCCTTTCTCAAACGGTTTCAACCGTCGTTGGGCGCGATGTCTTTGTGTAACCGATACAGGTCAACGGCTTCGTCGACGGTGTCGATCCGAGTCTGAATAGGGAGGTTTGGAGCGATACAAATAACTCTCGACCACGGGGGTGGGTCAGAGTGACGGAGCGCAGTCCCCGCCATGATGGACGTGTCGCCCGAGAACGACGGCGACACAGGCGACAATCCCATCCCGACCGTGCCGAGATTGGACACGGACCCGTCGCCGATGCGCCGCATCAACAAAATCTACGTGACAACCCGCCGGGCGTCGGGCGAGTTGCATCTCCAATCGGTCCTCCAACACATGGACCGCCGCCTCCAGGTCCTGCCGGACCTCGTGATGTTTTCAGGAACGTTTGGGCTCATGATTCTGTCCGTGTGCGTCCTCTTGGTGCTACTGTCGCAAGTAAGCGTCGTGGTTGACGAGGGACGCGCTCACCCGAATGCTGCAGAATATGTTTGAGCGCCAAGTGATCAATTTGAACGCGCAGCTTGCCGACACGTATCACTGGGCTCCCTACGGCCAGTCGTGTGTGTTGCGCGCCGACGGCTTTGTCCCGGATTCGTACGGCACCGCCCAACATGGCGCAGTCCTCTCACGTCTGCAGCAGATGCGACAACCGGACCGCTGCCGTCGTCCCTTCTCACATTTTTCCCATCGTCGGCGCGGTGTTGGGAACGCAATGGCTGGCCGAACTCAAGACCGGTACGCCCGATTCGTTCTTGCGCTCGTCCCACCGAACATGTCATGGCAGCTGGGGGCGCGCTCTTCGTCACAACGTGCGTTATTGGAGGCACGGTCGACGTCGGGTGGACCGACCTGCAGTTTCTCGCGGGGTACGTGTGCATGGGCAAACCGCCACGACAGAGGCGCGTCGACGTCGTGGTCATTCTTGGGTTTGGGCGACAGGTATGATTCGTACCCCGACTGCTTGCCGACGGCGCCCCAAGACGTGGCTGGCATCGCGATGCTGGAGAGCACTGTACGTTCATCGCACGCGTCGTTGTCTTCCGGTCCGAGTGTCGACGTCGTTTGCGCCAGGTTCGCGACGGCGAGGGCTACTATTTGATCACGCTGTTCGCCGACCTCGACAAAAGGATGGTAAAAAACACGCTCGTCGTCGCCATGGACGATGCTGTACCGCGGCGTGTTGGATAGAAACAATACGTGTATGCCAACTCGGACGGCACGTCGCAAAACTTGATCTCGAAGGTCCGGCGCATTGTCATCGCGGGGGACGGCAACGTTGGCATGGATGCGTTTGGCGGGACGAACAACGTCATTACATCCAAGCCTCTCGGCGAGCGGTACGATTGAACGGTCGGAATCCGTCATCGTGTGCGATGGGAATGTTGGGCAGGTACCTCGTGACGGGGTTTTGTGTGTCGGTGATTCAAGAGCTCAGCGACGCCAAGGACAAGCTCGAGCTCACGGGGTGGAGTCAAGGTAGGGCAGGTCTTGTTGCGACGCGTGTGCTGTGTCCATCATCCAGCGTGTTTATATTCCACGACGTCGTCCCAGGCAAATTCTCGGCGCTCCCTGTCGTCCCCGCGTGGAGCTGCGGTCACGTCGTATCGAACGCGAGCGAACTCGTGGCATTTCAAGCCATCTTGTCGGTGCTGTCCCTGTGGTTCTTTGCGGGCGATGTGTACATCACGATCGAAGGTCGGGCGACGTCGACGAGTCGCCCATCGATGAAGACTTGCGTCATGTCTAGGCCTGCGCGGTCTCTTTACAGGGAAGCCGATCCTAAAGTACGCTGTGTTGTCGGGTCTGGAGCGGCGCAAGGTACCACGTGCTTGTGTGATGCGTTGGGCGACTGGAGATGGTGGCGACATGACCATTTCTCGTGCAGTTGCTCCTCGCGTGCATCGTGGCCAACTCGATGCCTGGTCTGCTTTACATGGACGTGTCTCGAATGTATTTTCACTCGGTCAACGGGTTCAAGCTGTACGCGCTGTCGTCGATTATGGTGGCCAACTTTGTCGCGTTCGGGTCGCTTTTGGCGCTAAGGTACCCCACTCGTGTCGACGGTGCTATCACATTGCTTCATGGCTGGCATGCCCTACGTCATTCCCTTGCGACGTAGTGTGGTCGACATGCTCGTGAGCTACGTCAAGACATTTTCGATCTGCGTGGGGTACTCGGCCCCCGTCTTCATTGTGATGTCGATTGTCTGGATGGCTGCCGCGTGGTGCAACGACGACAACTTTCTCGACGCGTACAACAAATTTTACACCGCCCCGTCCGTGATCGGTCAGCTCGATTTGGACATGAAAAACGCTGACACGGGCGCGTTCTCGAGCAGGGTTTTGGGTGCATGACGCGTACTATGCCAGTGGCTCGTACGCTCCCGGCGGCACGTTGCCGATAGCAAACTACTTGACCGAGTCGATCTTGACCGCCGTGGGCTGCAGCTTTGGGGTGTCCATTGCCATCTCTTCGCTTCATCGATGGCTACTTCACAAGCAGTACGTGTTCAACTGAATCCGATTTTGATATGGCCATCTTTTGTTTGGTGCATGCTCGTTCGATACGTCTGGCCACACGGGCGATGCATGTTCGTGGATGGGGAGGGCATTGTCCAGGGTGGTTGCATTCATTACAAGCAGAACTGACACGGCTACCTGCCGCAATTAGTTGGTTCGTCTCGACGGCGTGGGCTCAATCCAACTCGCTGCTTCAAAAGTTGCGATTGCCCAGCTTTATCACGGCTCTGCCGCTGGACCCGTTCAACGCGATCAAGATCGGTAACACCATGTACTGCAAGCCCAGGTACGTACTTTTTGCCGAGCGATGTTTGTGGGGCATCGTATTGAGGATCCTCCTTGGTCAGTACCCTCGCTTTGATGGGCTATACAACTGTGGAACGAAAGAAGCAGTACGTGATCGCGGCTGATAAACGCTCTTTGACGCTACGATCCAATGCAGGGAAATGCACTCGGTCAAGGAGAATGACGGCGAGGAGCCACCGCAAAAGCCGCACTTTGTTGTGTCCATTTACGCGCTCGTTCCAGCGCTCGTCCTGCCTGTATCCCAAGTTCGATCCATCGGAGCGATCATGAAGAACCAATTTGCACACGAATCCAGAAAGTTGGAGCGCAAAGCATATCGATACACGCGAGGTGGTTGTGTTGGTTAACGAAATCGTCGTCGTTCCTGCCACCGCATGTTCGTTGCAGCTTGCATCGCGATGAGGTTGCATCGACGACATGCATATGGTCGATGTCATCGAAAGCGTCCCTGACATCTCTGCGCGTTGAAATCTCTACGTCTTGCCCTCTTGGCTCGGCTGGCCTCCATGTCAACACTTTCATGGCCAAGTCGGCATCGTCCCTGTAGTACATGGCACACGCATCACCCCACAAATCCAACCTTGTCGAGTCGCAATACAATTCTCCTTCCGAGACGCTGGTGCAGCCACCTGTTAGCGGCTGAGTACACATCCTGCTAGCGCGAACAACGTCCGCCTTCACTCGATCACGCATGTGCATTTCTCACGTGGCGAGGACCTCGAGCCACGTGCCTCTTGCTTGCATCGAGTCGTCGGTACTTGTACTACCTGTCATGGCGAAATGTCAGTTATCCGGACGATGGCGCTTTCCGGATGCGCCATTTGCCTGTATCCTCAAAATCGAAATAAGCATGGACGCTCGGGAAGTGACACGCGCCAAGCATGCGGCGGAGCTGGAAGCGAAGAAGCGCAAACTAGAGGAAATCCGTCGTCGTAAGGCCAACGTGAAGTAGGGCAATCGATGATGTCGCGACCAAATCGTGGCTTGTTCACAATTTGTGCTGGAGTAGGGAGGCTACCGTCGATACAGCCACGACAGCGGCCGTCGCTGCCGCGCCGTTTCAGGACTTTTTGCAAACCATATTGGACGAAGAGAAGCAAAAGGATATAGAAGTCACGGCGACCAACGACAGTGCCGCCCCCACGAGTGCACCTACTGTGTCGTTTGCCGAGAAATTGGCCAAACTCTCCACAGTTCCGTCATTCCTGCAGACGTCCGCAACGAATCTGACACAACATGCGATGGCATAGGTGATGCAAGTGGGTTCGCTCGATATTTTACCCGTTCAGGTGGAGTTGTACGACAAGGCAACGGGCATGGATCCCGAGGATTTCCCCTCGATGCCGGTACTGCTCCATATTGTAAAACTTATGTGGTCGCTCGTTGACAAATGGTGGCAGCCGCATCTTTTACCGGTCCAAATCGACTCGAGCGCAAACGAGCCAGAGCCTACAAACTCCCCAGTCATGACGTCCCCGCGCAAGTCCAAATCGCCTCTCCAGGCTCCTCCACCGGTCCCCGTTCGACTATCTAAGGAAGAACGCGAAAAATTGCTTCTATCGGCTGGTATTGATTTCTTGGGAACGTTTTCGTGTTTAGCTGGGATTTCTCTTGGGGAAACTGCGTCGTCTATGATGGATATTGCTTTCCATTTTTCAATCCTTTGTGCTACTCGTGGGTTATTACAATCAGTACACCAGGGTGTTGTTGTGCAGTGTGGGTGTGTGTCGTACCCACCGATTGCGTCCCTTTCTAGACTTGGACTCGTTTTTGAGCAAATCCGGCCGTGTGATGGAACGTGCACTCATCCAAGCGAGCACCTTTGACGTGATGAAAGACTACAGCGCAGACGGCACGAGTGACGACAACGACATGAATGGCGGGTCGACATCCCATGCGCTTAAACTGGCGCATATCTACCGCGATTCAAAGTGGACAAAGGGTCGTGCCGTCACCGACATTGACGTGTCTCCATTTTACAACGTACGTCGGTGGTGGCGTGTGTTTTTCAGTGAGAAGAAGTTTGGATTTGTCTCGGCCATGACGACGTAGTCATGTATGCATTGTTCTCGAGTTTCGTCAACGGATTCGCGTATTGCTTGTCTGGTGCAAGCATATTCGTGAGGCTTTGGGTAGTATCGAATGGGGAGATCCGTTTTTCACTGCATGTAGTGGAGACGCCACAAACTGAATGTGTTCGAAGTGGTTTCGTTGAGTCGTGTTGACCTTGACGAAAATATTCGTTGTGGTGTAGGAACTGTCGTTGGTGGCGTACAATGCGCGGGGATACCTGGAAGACGACTTGAACGACCAAGCGGATTGGAACATGCTAGACGGAGGGGATGCGATGGCTGATGCGGAAGGCGTTGTGTTGTTGTGGTCGAGCAACTTGCCGTCGCACCCCGAGTACAAATTTACGTGTCACTCCCAGGTCCTTTTTTTCGACAACCTGTCTTGCTTTCCACAAGAAATATATTTCACCGCAAGAGAGATGTGTAGGTCATGAGTGCATGCTTCAGCCCATTCGATCGGAATTTATTGGTGGGCGGGACGTACTCCGGGCAGGTATGGTGTCGTTTGAGCTGGGCACCGATGATGGAATGGGTAGGTCGTGTTGTGGGACACTCGAGCGAAACATACTCCAGTGCAAAAAACAACGCTGTCCGCGGCTGGCGGCCATACGCATCCAATTTACTCGATGAGTGTTGTCGGTACCAAGACTTGTTTCAGGTATGACTTCCACGACGTGTCGTTTTCGACACTAGGTTGGCGTGAAAAAGTCGTGTAGTGTGCTGTGGGGGAGGTACTTTTTGTCGAGGATATGTCGTCCTTGTATTTCCGTGGGTGCATGTCTACATGTCTTTTCATCCGAGGGATTCCTCGTGTTTTGAAAAGGATGATGGGTCGGGCGATATTCGATGACATGCACACGTTCATGTCGAGCTTGGTCGTGTTGATTTTCTCGAATTCGTGCAACATTGGGAAAGACGACAACGTCATGACGTTCTGGTGTTTTAGCTTGGTGTCGGCGAGTACCGACGGACGCATGTGCGTGTGGAATATGAACCAACTGCATACCCCCATGGATGTGTTGGACCTCCGCGTTGCTGGACCGTCTGCCTTGTCTGCAGGTGTAGCGGCCGGTGGGGCGGCGGGCAGCATCGCGCCGACAGCGGCCGGTCGTAAAATGTCCGTGCCAGTCACCGCCATGGCGTTTCAGCGGCCGTCGCAGAATCCGACGAATGCGTTTGCCATTGGCACAGGTGCAGTTGACATGGCCTGTGGGCGACGCGTCCGACCGTGTGTGTTAACGATAGAGTCGGGGGATCTCTGGGGTGCCCACCTCGACGAATTGCACCCTTCGGCGTCCCAAGCCAAGGCCCGTGAAGTCCTCGTCAACTCTGTCGGGGGGCCGACAGGTTCATCGCATTTCGGCCCTGTCACGTCGATGCAATACCATCCACTTGTGCCCCACCACCAAGACACGCTGCTCTTGACGTCATCGGTCGACTGGAGCTGCCGCTTGTGGAGTCAAAAGGTAACCAAGTTGTTCCGAGTGTGCTTCCATCGTGCAATCTGTTTCCTGCCAAGGCTGGATGGTTGCTGCAGCCTTGGTTGTCGTCCGTCGTGAGTCTCGAGATGTTCGACTTTACGTCTTCTGTCTTGGAGAGTTCGTTGTTGCTTCGGAACTTCGTCAAACGTATAGAGGTCATGAGATACTGAATGGACCTCAACCAGGGAGGAGACAAGCCGATCATGTCGTTTGAGCCCGCCAACGACTACGTGTACGACATTCGATGGTCGCCGGTGCATCCAGGACTGTTTTGCACGGCGGACGGATCCGGCAAGGCGAGCGTGTGGAATATCAGCAACGATTCAGAGGTCGGTGGGAGCAACCCACGTCGATATTGAGGGACTGGTGCGATGTGTAGGTGCCTGTGGCTGAAGTCCAAGTTAGCACCGAACGAGCGTTGAACAAAGTGCGATGGACAGCGGACGGCAAGCGCTTGTTGGTCGGGGATTCTGCTGGGGATACGCATGTCTACGATGTGCCGTCGGAGGTAAGTCGTACACGCGTTTGTTGTTGGTGACGAAATGCTGAAATTGAGCTTCTTCGTAGATCTCGCAGCCACGACCAGATGAAATGACTCGCTTGGAAAGCAAGTTGAATCAAGCGATTGCGCGCACGACGGACGTGTACATGGGTTAACTAATGGAAGAAACGAGTCGTGTGGACAGAGATCGCTCAAGTGTGGACGGATTGACATCTCGCGGTGAGATGGGCGTGTATCCTTTGGCAATATGAGAATGCCCCGTCGTGTCGTAGCTCGGGTCCTTTGTTGAGAAAGAAACCGTGAGAATACCTGGCGACGCCAAGGAGAACATACGGTGATTGACGCTCATGCTGTCCTTCGATCCATCGCGTTCGCGGGAGGTGGGGCGTATTATCTTCGACATCGGACCGCCGTTGCTTCCAGGATGTCCATGGCGACCTCCTCGCACGTTTGTCGCGATCGCCTCATGGACGTCGTCAAATGATGGTTCGGCGGTTTTGTTTGGCTGAGAAAAACCCGATTTCCGTTTTATCCATTTGGACCAATCATACTATTCAACCTTGTACGTTGACATAGGCAGAACGATTCAACGTACAGTTTAAACCAAGGCAATGTGGTCTTCACAGAAAAACGCATCGTGGTGATAGCATAGCTACTGGCATCCATCCCGTCAGCTTGATGGCTGGAGATCGTACACAACCCGCGTAAACTCGCCCACGAGACATCTAACTCCGTTGGCGCCCGTCGAGATGTTGCTCCACTCGGTGTTAAGCCTGTTGGCTTGGATCGGTGCGTTGGCCGTCTCGTGCATTGAAGTGCAGCCGTGTCAATCCTTCAAACACGACCAGCTCGCGCATGAACGCCAACAACTGTATGTCCTGCATGCAATGCCACTGGCCCCGTCGAGTGCGCATACTTCGGGAACGCTCTGCGCGCCAGCACCACGAGAAACATGCCGGACAGCCCAGGACCTCCATCTTCCTCGACGACGGTGCTGGCCAACCTTGCCCACGGTCGACAAGTTTTCAATTTTCAGAACTTTTGGGATGCTTCGACTAACGGTTTCACCAATTTTCGGAAAAAGTTAAAAAATTCCCGTGGCCAAGTACTTTCATCATTTGCGACCAAAGTAGCTCGCTCGACCTGGATGGACAGACACACTCCATCAAGAGGGGCATTCCCACGGCGCCAAGCAACGGTAGAGGAGACGGACAGCGAAGCCATCTAGCTCTGCCCAACGCGGCCGTGCACTCAGTTGAATTTGAATGTCCGAGCGAATGTTGCTGGACATGCCATCGTTGTCACCCCACCGAGTAGGACATCCGTGTCGAGCATTGGGCGTTAGCAAAACGCATCGTGGCCACATGCAGAGGTGTTAGGTCGTGCCATGTGGAGTCACGAAGTCGCTGTCGATGTGCTAGTTGCGGACGAACGAGCTCGTGCCTTGCGTCGTGCTGATTGCCTCTCGTTGCTTGTCCAGTGGATTTGACTTGTTTTTTATTTACAATTTTGGAAATTTCCCACGGGACGGTTGCACCATTGAAAGAAGGGAATTTATTCAGCGCGAGGTGCTACTTGCGGTTACGTTGTTCTGTTCGATGGAAAAATCGGTCGGGTGCATGAACATGGGAATGTCCGCGAACACCGCTCGCCATGGACCAGTTTCCAATCTCCTCCGTCGCCCACAGTACGCTAGCAACCCTGCGTGGACCATGCCGACCGCGACCCACGCCGTCCTGTCTTCCACGGACCTCTTTCAACACATCACTCCGTTTCAACAGGGGGTGCCACACCACATGCTCGAGCTCACAGCGTTTCCATTGCCGATCTCGTCCACCGTTCCAGTCGCAGACATTGCCGCCATTGTTGCACTCGTCCAAGCGTGGTGGAACGCTCATGGAAGACGGCAATGTCGACAAGTATGGACCTACTCCCCGCGTGCTAGCCGGCTCGTCTTAGTGTATGCCGCTGCGACAGGACAAGGACACCTTCTTCGCACATGTTTTTCGTCCAAGTGCACCAACAACGTCGCGGATAACTTGATGGATGTGGCAGCCTTTACGGGGCAATTGCGCATGGTTGCTGAACTCGTTCCTTACATTCATGACGTGGATGAAGCCATGGCGACAGCCATGTTGACGGCGGCGTCGAATGGCCATGTGGATATTGTGGAGTTCTTCCATCGACACATGGGTACTGACACCCATCCTGACACGACAAAGCTCATGGACGCTGCGGCGTCCAATGGTCACTTGGCCGTCGTACAGTTCTTGCACTTTCACCGACGCGAAGGGTGCACATCCTCCGCCATGGACTTGGCAGCTAGTCATGGCCATTTGGACATCCTTGCCTTCTTGCACGCCCATCGAAGTGAAGGGTGCACACCAGCTGCGTTGTCTCTAGCTGCTGCAAATGGGCATGTACAGGTCATGCAGTGGCTTGTCGAACACAGAGGGTCCATCAAGTGGCGTTGGTCCGAAGCGATTACGAACGCTGCTGCCCACGGACACGTCCAAGTCCTCGCGTACATTCATGCGACGAAGCCGCGCACCGGATGGACGAAGCATGCGATGGACGTCGCCGCATCCAATGGACACGTCCAAGTTGTGGAATTCCTCCATCGCGAGCGCAAGGAAGGATGCTCGGAAGCGGCCGAAGCGCTCGCGACTGCATTTGGACATGATGAAGTCGTTGCATATTTCCAAAAGTACGGCGACGAAGTGATCCGCCGTCTGTGCTGCGCGTGTGGGTTCAACAAGCCCCGGGTCCACGACTGCCCAACTGCCCATCGAGCGTCTTTCACGGCGGTGTGCGTAAAGTAGCATGCCATTCCTGTCACCCGTCCTTATTTACTTGAACTCGTGTGTGTGTGTCGTATGCTCCTTCATCTTAATGAAACATTGTTTCGCTCGTGAAGCAGCCTGCGCTACGACCGCGCCATGGACGCCAGTGTGGCGGCAGCCCTTGTGGCCGCTGGTCAGTTCCATCGAGCCGCGACCAGCTTTGCCGCCGTGCTCAACACCATTGTCTAGAAAGTTTCAGCGGCCGCCATAACGACGACAAAGGGCATGGCGTAACCTTCCTGCTTACTGGACCCCCGACACGGATGGCGTTCGGGCGGCTCTGTGGAAGCAACTTTTGCCGTCCCAGCGATGCTGCGAACTACCCGTTTGCCTGTGCTCGCACACTGCCTGGACAGGGATGCCGACGGAGGCCCTGCGTTGGCACTTGATCCAGGCCCTACTTTCTTGGATGTGTTGCAAAAGCAGTTCCGCCATCAAGCATGGAGCTGTCCATGCGCACGTCACATGCTCCTGCTACCTCTTGCGTTTTCGACTCGTAGCTCCTCTACTGTTACATGCGCGCGGCAACCCAACTCGTCCCGACGGCGCTCCCACATGGATGCATAACGACGTAGGGGCCGACGCAAGAAGCACGGCGACTTTCAGCGCTGCATCGGGTGCGACCTGCAGTTTGAGTCAGTCATTGTAGCCAACCCATGCAGAGGGGGGTCAAGGGGCGTTTCGTGGCCACGGATCGTTCTCGTTTCATCACCGACTCGCGTCAGCAGAGCTAGGATGCCAACGTGGCAACATCGGATTGCAGAGTCAACTACTCGGTCGTGGCCAAACGTGTGGTTGCAAAGCGAGTCAAGGTGTCGTCTTGAAGTCGAAACACCTTCCACTCGTTCATGATGGTCGCACCAACGGTCTTTCCCACGTAAAAGTTGATGGCAGGGGTGTTCCAGTCGATGGCGCTCCATTCCATGCGGCCACACCCCTTCTCGATGGCCAGCGCCGCGAGATGCTTCATCAAAGTCGTGCCGACGCCTCGTCCGCGGAAACTAGGGCGAACGTACAAGTCTTCCAGGTACAAGCCAGGCTAACATGAAATCATGAACAGCAGCCCAACACATGACACTGCGATACCTTGCTCAGGAACGTCGAGTAGTTGAAAAAGTACAAGGCAAACCCGACGTCGGCGCCGTCCACGGACGCCAGCACGACATGCGCGTACTTGTGGCGGAACAGCGTCTGGAGAAGATCGTCTTGGGTACCCACATGTGCGTGTGCGAGCTTCTCGTACGTCGCTAGCTCATGGATAAAGTCGTAAATCAACGGGACATCCGCCTCGGTCGCATCACGGAGGACTACCGTCATGACGACGAGTTGGACGAAATGATGGATGGGTGGCATCATCGGGTACTACTTTGGACAAAACACGTGGTTAGAAAAGACGCGTTAAATTGGGAAGACTGCAATGAAGTATGAGTTCAGGTGCAATCCATGTTCGATCGAGTGGATGAGGACGCACCATACCATTCCTACAGCACCCCAGCAATGCACGGACACAAGCGACGACGCGCCGCCGTCTCCAGGCCCATCACGTACTTCCACTTGCTCGTACAAGGTGGGCATGGCCCTGTGATCCTAATTAGGTTTTTCTCGTCGGCGTGAGTCCATATTTCAGCAACGTCGGAAAGGGGAAGCTCACGAAATTAGGATTCACAAATCGGAATGTGCCGAAATATGCCTAGATGTGTTTCAACGCGCGTTCCAAGCACCACCAGGACCACGTTATAATATCTAGAAGATGTTTAAACTGCTTCCAAACGACTGCCAACTTGACACACCTGGTCGCCAACCACACCGCTTCCATCCACTGCTGCTAGCAGCACAGCCCTTTGACCTTGTGTAGCGTTCGGTTTTCAAGAGGTATGTCAAACGTTATCACTCAAAACAAGCCGAACGCCACCAATCGTTTTTCACACGACCTCGACGTCCTCGGAATCACGTGTGTAATATCGACGTATTTTTCCAAGACGTAGGTATTTGGAAAATATGAAAATTGAAATATATATACTACAAATAATATCTACCAGCATTTGGTTAGACTAAAAATAACAACCTGGACATGCCATCGGTCGCGGGCGCGGTCCTGGCGGCCGCCGTGCTGCTGCATCGAGTGGTTGGGCAGGTACAGCCCCCCCCCGACGTGAATGTCAAGGTCGTCGTGCGCGGTCCGCTCATATTCTGGTAGACTGCCCTGCCCAAGTTGACCCCGTTGAAAGCAGGTTTATCCCCCCAATTCCGTCGACGAGGGCGCGCCCCAATGCTCAACTCGTTTGCGGTGTAGGATGCCTTGAATCGGACGTGGTGTCGTGCAAGATGAACTGCGCACAGCAGTACAAAGACGAGGGACGCTTCACGTGTCCGTGCTACAGGTACAAAGACCGCCCCCCCCCCACTTTGTGGCACTCGACGACAGGATGTGCATTGTCCAGCAAAATGGGAGAATGCTTGGTTCGAATCGGGTGTTCGTTTGCCCAGCGCAAACAAGTCATCACGGCGTGTACGCGCAAAGGTTATTGCAAAGTCGGGTATTGCACGTATCGCGCGGGGGACTTGACGCCGAAAAACGGCGTCCGGCCCGAGATTTTTTCCAAAACGGCCATCGTCCCCCCGGGGTCGCCCTGTGTCGATGGGTGCTGCCGTAGCAGCGGCACCGCATGCAATGAAGACCCTGCGTTGAAGTCGCTGCGGGAGCCCGGTCGCGCGTATCGAAACGAAGAAGTGCAGCTGCCGCCGAGACGGTACCCTTTCGTGTGGCGTTCCTGTCCGTGTGCCGCTCACGTTCTTGTGTGCAGGGGCGACCCCCGCTTGAGCGTGAATCAAAACTACGACCTGATGCCGTACAGCATCCCCCTCGACAACTTGCCGCCGGTGGACCCGAATTTCTTGCTCGCGTTTCGACAAGCAGAAGACACCGGCGTCGATTCCGTCGTCGCCCGCAACAAGTTTTACAAACCCCTGAACGGCACGCTGTCGTGAGGATGGGATGGTCAGGATGCCCACTCAACCAACCGCCACGTGGATGCCGCCGACATTGTCGTGGCGGTGGCTGCAGTCAATGTTGTACCATGGATGCATTGTCTAGCCTTGCCACTGTTCGCATCGACGCCGTGCCGCGCGTACCCAAACACTGGGACGAAATCCTCATGAACACCGAGCCACTCATCCTCTATCAGCTTCACAACACCAGTACGTGTGGAAGCGGCGAGAGAGCATGCAAAGGCGTTGTGTGCCTGGATGCATGTTCCATGCTTCTCCAGCGTTGACGCTCTGGAGCGCCGAAGCATGGGGGCAGCGCAAGCCTCTACAAACGCACGGATTCCCAGACCCGCTTCGCCGACCTACGCATGCATTCAAGTCGGACCCATGCCGTGCCGGCATGACCTTGTGTTCTGGTTGGGTGTACGACAGCACAGGGTTCCGTGGGTGGCAAGGGGGTGCCTGCTGCCTCTTCCTCGAGTCAATGCTCCTCGTGGGACACTCCAAAATCATGAAACCACACTTGGGCTGCGGTGCATATCGCGGAAACCGTGTGCAGAATATGCGCGACATGGTCGTGAAAAACCAATTGAACGCGCCACACAATAGCAATCGCGTTCAGCGCTAGGATTTGTCTACAGCCTCGTTTCTCGGTGGTTTTACTCGGCGCGTGCACTGCATGGCGGTATCGCGGAGCCCATGATGGGAATAGGAGGGGCCATGACGACCAGCCCATGCTTTTGCGGGCGTCGGCAAAACGCAGCCATAAATAACAACGTGGCAGTGGCCAGGATCGTGCTTCCGCCCGCGACGCGCTTGGCGTAATACGTCCATGCGTTCAAGAGCGGCCGCCGACACGATTTGTAGGGTGTTGTAAAGTTGGCAAGTTCAGGCAGGTTCACGTCCTGGGCTGTGAGCACGCGTGTGCAAAAGATCGCTGTGACGTTTGGTGCCGTCAGTGGTTGGCACACGTTGGTGGACCAGTTCAACAGGCTGTCGTCGGCAACGTCCCGCCCGGTGCAAGCCAAACAGGCGCGGAGAAACCTGTCGGGCCACGAGGACGGCCCGGCGATGGCGCACACGTCACCGATCGTCTGGCTCGACGACACGGCGCTCGAATTCGCCACCACACCCAGGTTCGAGTACAGCGTCGGCAAGCTGGACGCATTTGCCGCGCAATACTGCGAGGCGCACAGCGCGTAGTGGTAGCCGTGCGCGACGGCAGTCTCCTTGTTCCCGCCAGCCGTGGCCGGCACAAACTTGACCAAGAGCCATTCGTTCGCCAACGTGACCGAGCTGAACCCGATTACCGCCGACCCCACCGATGCGATGAAGATTGCGAGGTACAGCGCGAACGCGACTTTGGAGCGCGGAATGACGACGACGGACGGACACGACGCCACCACCATCGCGATGGCGAGGCACACGATCGCTTGGACAAGATACGCATTGCACGAAAATGCCGAGGCAAAGCGAAATGCATGGTGCCATGGCAGTGTAAGGTCTTTGGGAGCAGCGACGACGTGCGGGGGGTCGGTCGGTTGTATGCGAAGGGTGCCGCTGATGGCCACACCGAGAACGATCGCACACACACAGCCAAATCCAAACATGATGGTGATGCCGGCAAGGAGCGCGAGCGAGTACCGCGACGACGCGGTCGGCGACACAATCTGAACATACTGCCCACTGGCTTCCAGCGAAGCGGCGGCGGCAGGCACGCCAAGGAGCTGTTCTTGCCGCGGTGGCATGAGCGGTGACGACCATCGAGTCATGATGTAACCTGCGCGGACACAAGCGTGTGTGGCCCGGTCCTCGGAAAAGTTTCACCGCACCGAACGCCAGCGGTTGTGGGATGCTGGGCCGCCCTTCGACCGACCGCTTTTTAGGTGTCGCAGAAGACGCCGGTGAACATGTCGCAGATATTCAACCCGACGGATTCGAGTGCGGCCCGTGCAACGACTGCCAACGGCTCGCCGCAACGACCTTGCCATGCCCATGGGCCTGCCCTCGAAGGCTCCGTGGCAAATGCCGCCATGCTTCGATCGGGAACACGTCGTTCATCGCCGAGGTCGACACAGGCGACTCTACCTCCCAGTGGATTTCGAGCGCCTTTAGTGGATTTCGAATGTCTTAAGTGACCCGAAATACGGGCGGTGCACGGTCATGTCGAACGCAGTTACAATTTGGGAAATAAAAAAATATATCGGAATACGCCGAAGAGTACCCACATCGAGTGAGTATTTCGTGGCACTTGACTCGATGATGTGACCAACGTCCCATCGACCTCGAACCCAGCGCAGCAAGCGCCAAGCAGCACCGAGCCACGTGGTACATCCCGAAGGCTGCAACCGGGCCTTGCCATCGCACTTGCTTTGCAGAAGGGGATGCAGAGGGTGGACGTGGCCGATGGTGGCTACAGGTCAGCGACGCCACGGGCCGTACAACGCGACGCTTTCATGGACTTAGCAATGTCGTGCAAGGGCCGGCCGGAAACCTGTGCCCGGAACGCGGTCAGGTTGCGGCGGATGCACTCGACGGGCACCCTGCGATGACGAGTGGACCGGGGCCATTGCGCCTGGCCTGTCGGTTGAAAATGTCACAACGCATACGTGCCCGATGGTTGTTGGCCTAGTTCATCATGGGCTTCGACTTCCCCGAGAATGGCCAGGTGGGAAGGATGCAGCGGGGGCATCCTTCAGGCGACAACCCCGCCGCCCGCGTTGCTACGGTGCACCTCTGCTTCCTTCTCGATCGCCTCTCCCGCCGTCCACACCCACTGTTGACTCAACTCCTCCCTTCCGTTGTACTTTGGTCGCGCGCGCGGCCTTGTTCATGCGTGCGACACCCCACCATGAAGCTAGCCAGTGGCTTCGAGGACATTGCCAGGTCCGCTGTACAACTGGGAAAACTCTCCATGTCTTCTGCAGCGACAAGCCTCGCGCCTTGTCCTGTAAGCGTTTGACACAGTGTCCAGCATAGCAGGTGCGTAACATGGATGGCAGCCGACAAATGCCCTGGCGAGCACGCGTTCGTTGTTGAGTCAAAGGCGACATGCGTTGGCTTGCTCGCCGCCGGCTTGCACGATCAGCGCTCCGGCGCGTCGCTCGGATATATCGCCCCTGCAACACGACGAGTGCTTGCCCACGGAGGAATGCCGGACGGAGCGCACCGGAGTCATGGCGGAGGGCGATGTGCGAACCCGCGTTCGAGCCACAAACGATTGCAAATCCTGGTCCACACCGTCAGTCGACGCGTTGCTCTCGCCGAGGAATCAAAGCGTTGGTTGGCGGAGCTAGACGCGCCGACGCATCCGCACGACCCGCAACGTTGCGTTTGTCATACTCTGCCTGGCAAGTCCATAGGCGTCCCAAGCATCGCGGTGACCACTCTGGTCGACTCGCACAGGTTTTGTGGCGCAGCGGCGTGGGAGAAGCATTTCTTCAAGAGGACGCACACGACGACAAAGACGCTGCACAGGCAGGAAGGACAAGAGAGAATCGAGGGGGCCGCTGGCCCCTGTTGTCATGGCTAGCGGATCGTGGTCTTGGGTCGCTGTGGCGGAGCGAGCTTGGCTTCGTGCCCATGATTTGGGGTAGGACCAAGCCCTCGTTACACAGGCCGATGCCGCCGCGGTGCATGTTCTCGCCTACGCCGCACCCAGCGCCCCATGAGCGGCGGATCTTGACATCATGGCGGTCAGAACGCGGGACGAGGTACGCCCTGGTAGCCCTGCTGCGGCAGTCTTGCCGCAACGCATTGCCGGCGTAGACAATCACCGACACGGGCGAGGTGCTGACCGCGGTCCTGAGCGAGGCCAACACGCGGACGGTGAACCCGATCTGAGCGATCTCTTGGTGCACGAGTTGCTGCACTCGCCCGAGCAGCCCGTGAATACGGGTAGTCCACGACGCCGCTGGCCACGTAGTCGAGGCCGGACTAGGGGAAGCCCCCTCGCAGCCCTGGTTACCGCCCTCAAACGAACAGCTCGCTACCTGTTACTCCGATTAGTGCACAAGCGCACATGTCGGGGTACAGAGCGCCGCGACCCCCACGGCCGCGTAGGCTTCGCCGTTGCCTTGGTGACGTACCTCAGTCGGCACGCACGAACCTGCCGTCCAGTCCAACGACGACGCTTGGACGGCGTTCACGCCAGGATAGTGCGGCCGCAGTGCGTTCCGCACTCGAACGATGGGCCCACCGCTTGCTTGTTGAACTCGGCCACCGATGTTTGGGCGTACGGATGGTTGTTGTCGAATGAGGCTGGGGGTTTGTGCGGCAGGTCGGTTCGATCGCCAGGTTATTGTCGTGGAAGCGCTGAAGCGTAGATCTCAACTGCGATTGCGTTTGAGCTCTCCTGGTGGCTGACCGCAGACCTTGGGCTGCGAACACGCCACTAGGCCAGCTCCGATGGTAGCGTGAACGCGGCAGCGGATGGCGGCAAACAACTCGATTGAGTCAGGAGGGAAGGCCAAGTCATCATTGCCAAGGCTGACCGCGCAGTCCGTCGAGTCTGTGTGAACTCAGTGGCCTCCAGAGCCAACGGAAGGGCCTGGGGTAGCGTCGAAGGCGCGATGCCGACGATGCCGCGTCATGCAACTGTCGTAACCCAAGACATAAAGTATGGGAGGCACACTTTTTGCGGCGAGCCACGCGAAACGGCATGGAGTGGGCGATCGATCCAAGGTCGAGTGGCGTGCTGCACGTCGCTTTGGTCGCCGCCAGCGTGACCGAAACAACCGTCCGTGGCATCGTCGCCTCTCTTACTGCCATCCCACGCCGGCATTCGACTGTCTGCGTGCATGTGACTCATCCCGGCACGGCGTACTCTACGTTGGAACTTGCCGAGCTCGTCCGCGCCTTGAGTGACTGCTTTGAACATTGCCCGTGCCTCGAATGGAGCCTCGTCGGGGTCCAAAGCGCCCCTGCCCTAGAGTCCTTGGCAACTTTATGGCGAGATGCGTGGTGCACCGCAACACCACGCCCTCGACGCATCCGACTGCACGTCGATGGCCATCATGCCACCGCCATGGCCGGGCTGCACGTGCTGGAGCCGTATTTGACTGGTATACACGTTCGAGCCAAGCGAGTCGCTCCAAATCGTGCGTTGGTCCTGCCCATGTGTCGGAGCTCACGTGCCGTTTGTAGTTGTGACGATGCTCGGGACGTTCACCATGTTGACGGCCATTAGCCTCGACAAGATGCTGTCATCGTGGTCTCGACATCTCCTGGCAACATTCTTGGCCATGCTTGCGCCCATGCATGCCACACGACATGCCATGCTCCCCCACTTGACGGCCCTGTCACTGTGCGACAACTCGTTCGATTCGACGGACGTCATTGCGATTGCGTCGACCGTGAGGTACGTGCATGCGCCGAAGAAGACGTGGTGTTCTTTGTCGGATGTCGACCAGTGCGCCGCCGTTGGTCACGTTCGTGGAGTAGATACCATCGCACGCTGACCGATTTGTCGCTGGCGTACTCGCTGCCCCCGATGACGGTGGAAATGGGTGCGTGGCTGGTGGCAGGTCTGTTTCAGTCGCCGTACTCTCGATTGCAATCGCTGAACGTGTCTGGCATGCGCATTGGGTTGGTGGAAGCGCACGCGATGGCCAACTCGAACCACTTGGTGCGTCGGTGCACAGGTACTGTCAAACAACCCCACCCCGACGCGGGTTTTCATGTCGGTCATGTGCCGCAGCGGACAACGACTGCGCCGCCGAGCCAGTGCCACCGGGCTTGTATGCCATCTCGGCCACCGTCACGCGGCGAGAGGACGACGGGTGGCACGTGTCTCCCGGCATGTCCGTTGTAGAAGTCATCACGTCGAACGCGGCGCAAGTGGCAGTGTCAGTGCCTACGCAAGGCGGCATGGCATGGATCGATCGGGCGTTGTTGGTGCACCGCCATGATGTCGAAGGGAGCGGGGGCTTGATGGCGTTGGTCATGGACGACTTGGTATCGGCAGACCCGGTGCTCGTCCACGTCCTTGCATGCGTCCCAGCACGGCATCGCCTGGAGCGCTTGCGCACACGGCGGTACACCCTGACAACCGACGAGCTGCGCGAGGTGGGCAAGGTCGTGATGCGAACGTCGTCACTCGAGTCTGTGTAGGTGTTGGTCCAATGTCCGGCGCTGCGCGAGCTCGACATCAAAGCGTGCCGACTCGCAGACGCGTCGCCGTTCGTTCAAACGTGGTGTTCTCCGCCGCAGAGTCGTCTCGTGCGGCTAAACTTGTCCAAGAACCCCGTGGGGGCGGTCGGGGCCGCCGCTATATTTCGCGCCTTGCGCTGGACGAACCTCCAAGCCCTCGACATGTCAAACTGTCACATGGGCGAGTCGACTCTCGCGGCACTCGACCACGCTTTACAGGTACAACACCCGCGGCCCCACTGAAAACACGTCACAGCGTAGCGGCTCAGAACAACGCCCAGCTCCAAGAGATCGTGTTGGATGCGACCGAGGCGGTGGACCAGCTGGCCAAAGCACACCATGGCCGGCCACTGCATACGTTGCCCCTGCCCGCGGATGTCAAAGCTGCATTTTGCCAAGCGCTGTTCCGAATGCACCAGCGCGCGGCGCTGGATCCGTCGATCGTGCGCGCCATTTTCCAAATGGCTGCACCCGTTGTGCATCGCCGCATTGTCCCGACCCCGTCACACGACAGACACCAAAGCAACTTGTACCGGCGAGTGGGTTGGCAAGTCATGTGCTACGACGGCTGTGCCCCAGCACTCTCTACCACGATGTGACGTGATTCATGTTGGGGATGCAAAGCGGTGCAGACGCCGCCTCGTTCGATCCAGTGGCTCAATTCGTCGCGACAAGAAAGGCGTGGTTTGGTGTGCGGTGTTTGTAGAGAGGTGGCTCGCCCAGCATAAAGCAACGGGTGATGGTGGATTTGTCGTTGAAGCATGGCCGCCACACGAAATGGCGAGAAGGGGGTCAGAAAAGCTAAATTCAGACAATGCACAACCTTTTGTACTTGGGGTCGACACCATCGACGGGCCACAGCTCTTCATATCGAGCATATCTGCATCGATAGATCGCAAAATATGCGTGGAATGTCCGTGATGCCGTCCAAGATGTCATGGCCAGGGGATCAGGTGCTGTAGTGTTGGCATGTGCATCGATTGAATCCTGTGGCCTTCTCCATCCTTGTGAATCACGTTTGTGTCGTCGGTGTGGGAGATCGTGGCCATTCGTTTTGTCGTCGACAGTGTGTACACGACGCTAGCGGGCTTCCTCTTCGGCGCGTCCACGATGTGTTCAAGCGCTTTTCTTGCCCCCATGCCACAATTTTCTTCATGCTTTTGACACAGTCCGTCGACATCGGTACATCGTTGAACAGGGTCCAGCTGCTGCGGCGCTGCGTCGTCGACTGCAGTGATCGCTGCATTGAAGCGCCGTTGAACATCGCTCCGAAACCGCTCGTCCCCCCACCGCTCGCTAACGTGGCGCCGGTTCGAGTTGCCTTGCCACCGACACAACTTAAGGCATCCCATTGTGCCGGGCGAACATGCTGCGTCTGCACTGTCTGACCTGAAGTCATCGCAGCGGCAGGCTGACCCCCCCCCTGGCGCTTTCAAGCAGTTCGGGGACAGAAAACGCCATTGCCGCCATGTTTGCTTCGACAACGCCTTGTCCGTTTCGATGAAGTGCAAAACGGGCGGTGGCCCCGTCGGATTGGGGAGTAAGTTTGGAACGAATCTTGTGAACGGTGGTGGCACGTCTGCCATGACGGGCCCGACGTGCGGCCATTCCCGAATCTGCTCCGTCAAGATGCAGTTGCTCCTAGCCCTCGCCACCGTCCTTGCGACCACCTCGGAAGTTGTTCATGGCGCCGCTTGCACCTCGGAGCAAGCCTCGGTCATCGTGGAAACGTCGATGGCCGCTCCGTGGGCCAACTGCACCAGCACGGTCGGCAACGCGTCGTCGATGATGGAGCTTGTACCAACAAGCGCTGCCAAGATCACGCTCTTTTGCTCGACCCCGTCATGCACGGCCAACTTGGATGCTTGGATCAAGTCGTTTCCCGACTGCACACTCGATGGAAAGAGCCAAAAGGAAACCATGACCACGATGGCCGCGACCATTTGCGCCGTTGGCAGTACGAATGGCGGGGCGTGTTCGCCCAACCAGTTGATCACGGCGGGCCAGATGTTCGTGTCACCCGTGCCTGCTGCGTGTGCATCGGCCACCGGCATCCCAGCGACCACGACCCTCCAGGGACTGCTCAACCAGTCGGCCACCGTCATTTGCAACACACCGTGTATCGGAGCCATCACGACGGCGGCTGCGGCTTTGCCCAACTGCACAGCGGACGGCAAGGTCATCAATGACGCCACACCCTACACCAAGCTGTGCACACCCACGACAACCCCCAAGCCATCGAATGCTGTTCCGGCGGGTGTTGCGCTGGTGTCCATGGCAATCCTCGGCATCCTGGCTTAAGTCTTGGTGTCAAACGTTTTCAAACGGTGGGCAAATTTTTTTTCAATTTCGACAACACAAATTTGCATCCGCGACGAGAAATTTGTACTCAGGATAGCAAACAATGACTCACGACGTTTGAATAATTGTATGATTAGCGCGCCATAATCGTCGTGAAATCAAACATCGATAGGTCAAATATGTCAAAAATTTTCATCCGATTTTACAAAAATTGGCATGTAAACATTGAATACATTATATCGCGGTACATCACAATTTGTTTTGCGCTGAAGTCTCCATTGCTTCGTGGTATGGTGGCGCATCCAGCTCATGAACGATCGAATCCTGGAAAGAAGCACCTGAATATTGCGGCATCTTGTTAAGCCACATTGATGGGCTGAGCCTTGGAAACATTGCAAAAAATACGGGTCTCACCAGAGCAACCGTTCAGTCGAAGGCTACAAAACCCATGGAACAATTGCAACTCGGCCACGCTCGGTACAATGAATCATTCGCTTCCCCTCGTCGTCATGGCGATGAGATGGCCATGGACGATGGCAGCGCTGGCTACAACGTTCGCGTGGAGAGATCGATTTGTTTTGGCGGGCGAGCTATCGCGCATCGACTTGCGATCGACAGCTTTGAACCATCGACACAGGCTACGAAGGGAGTGGGGTCGCTATACTTGTGGTCGCGAGGAGTGTTGCCGTCATCCCCGTGCAACATGCGACCACTTGGAGCAGATGGGGGAATGCCCGCAGATCGTGCATGTTGGGCCCGTCATGGCCATTCCCCAATCCGAATGGATCGTCGCCCATGATGCATTTCACAGCGAAAGGAAATGTGGGTTGTCCATGCAAGGGAGTGGCGGCGGGAAAGATTTGATTCGATTGCCCGCCGCTGAATTTACGATATCGAACACGACCTTGCTCGAGAAGAAGCAAGTTCGTGTTGGATATCGCGTCTGCATCGGTGGGTGCGGTCGCCGATACCTTGCGCTAGCTGGAACAGACTTGTGGTCATGGTCAACGCGACCATCGTGAAACCAAGCAAGCTCGGTGGTGAAGCCATTGTTGCGGCGGACAGAACTTGTATAAGATTGTGTGGCATGGCTCGAGATGCACGATATGCATGTTTCGTCGCCGCTCAACGGTGCTTCCCTGGCGTCGTCCACATGCACCCAGTGCATTTTGTTGGCAGCGTCGTCGTCTTAGTGGTTGGACATTCGATCCGTTTTCGATCGATATCGCACGAATTCATCCCGTTCATGGCGTTCCGTTCTCGGTGTGTGCCATCCAACCGACGAAAAGTGGGCCGTGTCGACTACGATGGTCTCGCAGCCCTCGTTGACCGCAAGCGATGTACCGACGTGAACGACGCGCAGATCGACAGGAGTCGTTCGTGCAATGAATTCTGTCCGCCATGCGATCGCACCCACCCCCCATGACGAAGGCAGCTCCGCAAGGCATCAAGTGACGCGATCGACTAGTCGCAGCTCTGCCTCGACTTTGTGATTCAAGGTAGTGTGATGATGGCCTTTGTTTCAACGAGCCATGCTCTGGGCATTTTCAAAGGGGCTTTGACCCAACCGTGTGCGGCTGCCGTCGCGTTGGACGATGCAACGGAATGAATGCAACATCCATCCATTGCTGACGTTTCTCGAACGCGTGGGAAACGATACGGCAGCGCCTCTACAATATGTCTTCCTCTTTACGTCATCAACATCCCCGCGACGCAGCGCCCTGGCAAAACGAACGATTCGTTCCAACGAGGTGGTACCCGTTGCGGATAAAGGGAGCGTCGTCCAGCAGCGTGCGGGCACGAGAGATGCTGCTGGGGCGATCGCGCAAGCACATAGATGCGACGACATCGGTCTCAACGATCCTGGTTACCATGAACCAAGTCCGCAGGGGGGGGACCTTCGTGCCGCGACGGAGCCATTGCATTCGTTCCATGGTGTGTGTGGGTGGCGGCATCCACACACATAAAAAGATCGCACGAAATGTCTACATCTCTGCTTGGCGTCTCCGCCGCCCCTCCAGTCGTTGTCGTGTGGAGATGGCGGCGTGTGGGCCATGGCTCCAAATCAAGGAGCATCGCGGTCACACCGTCGCAGGCCGCTCAACCCAGGGAGCTCCTTGTAGCGTGGGAAGGCTCGCGCACCCGCAGCGCTTGCACGATGCAAGGCGAGTTACTGTACGCGGGACTTGTCCATGAGCAGGGCAGGCGATGTAATGACGTTTGCGATGCCACTCCCAGTTTGAGCGGCATCAAACCTTTGAAAACAAATATCGACAAGCGATTTCAAACGCTGCAAACACGGGGTTTTTGTATACCGCGGGCAACGCACGACCTCTAAGATTGAATACGTACGTAAAATCCGCGGCGTCGATTTGTATCTATCCCGACGTGGAGAGAAATATAAACATTGCATTTGGAATTTGTATGCACATCAAAAAATATATATATATATATTTATATTACTGTACGTTGCCCACCACAACGCCACAGCACAATTCCACCGCGCCAAGCCATGGACGACGATCGCGGCACGCATCTCCGCGGACGACGAGGAGTCCCCGAAGAGGGCGACGACTCTGGCGCGTTGCCGTGGACGCCCAGGTCACACGTGTCCGAGGCCACGCCGTTGCTGCCTCCACATTTGCAAATCGAGGTGTCGAACTCGGTCAAGGAGAACCAGGACAAGTGGAAGCATCTCATGGAGATCGACGCGTCCGACAACACGGCGCAACAAATGGCCGACGACAACGACGAAGCGATTGAAATACTCAAGTTCATGGACGACAAAGAGTTTCCGCGCACGCAACACGACCTGTCCCGGAGTCTGTCGCTGTCGTACGTGTTGTACTCGCCCGTCACACACGACTCGAAAGCGACGTGGACCGAAGTCGACAAGTACATGGTTGCCGCCGCCTTCATCGAGGACGGCATCCACGGCCGCAAGATTGGTTACCGCATCGACGCGCAAGCACTTCGCATGGTCCGGTGGTTTCACTCGACGTGGTATCAGTACCTGTTCAATTTCGTCGGGATCGGGTGCTGCGCGCTCGCATTTGTCGAGACGACCTCGTCCAGTGGGTGGACGACGTGGCTTCTGGTGCGTGCGTCGACGGTGGCTCGACGACGATCAAGATAAACATGTGTAGATGGAACTCGTCTGTTTGGCTGGGTTCTCCATGGACGTATATTGCCTCTATGCCATGAGCTCGGACAAGACCAAGGCCAATTTCCGGAAGCGTGAGCCGTGGGCTACGTTGCGGTACGACGGCGTGCCACGTTTTGCTCCGTTGATTACATGGATGCGGTTGTGTTCACGTGGGGTGCTGCGATGTTTTGCTAAGATCGTGGCACGCACCCACGGGTACATGCTGAATATTCTCCATGTAGATTTGTGCTCCTGGCGCTTACGTTTGCCGACATCGCGTTGTACTTGGCGGGAATTTCCGTCGGCCAGCCGCGGTACACGCGCATGTTTAGACCGTTTATGGTGATTGCCCGCCGTCGGAATATCCGCATTGTGTTTGCGAGCTTCCTGCGCGCCCTCAACGACGTCGCGGTCATCCTCGCCCTGACGCTGTGTGTCGTGCTCTTCTTTGGGCTCATGGGCTTCCTCCTCTTCGCCGACTCGAGCGTGATCCTCAACGTCCCGTATTTCGCGACCCTCGGTGACTCGTTGTACAACATGCTCCTGATCCAGTCCTGTCTGCCTGTCATGATGTCGGTACGGCTCGTTCGAATGCTTTTGTCGGTTGGTGGGTTGTCGTCGGTCGTGCGCTTGCATCGGACAACGTACGGGGTGATGACGATGGTTGCGTCGAGTGTGAATTTGCATCGGGTGGCGCCGAGAAATGGTAGCATCGTTCGGAGATCGTACGTCGAGTGTGGTCGTTGAGTTGCGGCGATATGTCTGGTGAATGTGCTCGTGGTGCCGTGCATGTGCAGGTTGATGTTTCGATCGCGTGTTATTCTTCGCTCCAGGATGCATTTGATGTCTCAATGACCACGGCGTGGAGCGGTGCTGGCATGGGCTGTAAACACGTAGTTGCTGCCATCGCCGTCTTGCACAAAAAAAGAAATCGTCGATCGTGGGGTCGTTGGTGAAATGCACGTCCGTGGTTTATGAAAGGGGCGATCCATCGCTCCGAGCAAACCGGCCGTTGCGTCTGCGTGGATGGGTCTGCCGAAGTGGGCACGTTTGGCATGCACAGCAGTGGGTGCGCACGGATGGTGCCGCGGCTGTTTGTGGGTGACGTGGTCGATGGGATGTGTTTGTGATTGTGTCGAGTGGAATGAATGGACATGGCGAGGGATGCTGGTGGGTCGACGTTGCTGACTCGGCGTGCTCGTTGCGGTTTGACATTGTCCAAACGAGTGCTTGACTTTCCGAGGCACTCGAGTTGATTTTACCACGTGTCGAGTGATGGTGCTTGAACGCTTCGTCCGTCGGCGTACTCACGTGGCCGACCTGCTTTGTGGTTGTTGTAGGTGATGCTGCCGTACTACATTCGATCGCAGTGGAGCGCGTTGTACTTTGTCGTGTTTGTGTTGTTCACCAACTTTTTCTTGGTCAAACTCACGATCGCCGTGTCGTACCGTCGTTACAAGCGCAACACGGAAAAGATGTTGTACAAGCGTTTGCAAAAGCGCAAGATCGCGCTCAACAAAGCGTTCGACTTGCTCTCGGACGACCTGTTGGACGATGCCATCCAGCGCACAGTCACACTCGACGCGTGGCTGGCCGTGTGTCGGTACGCCGTCCCTCGACACACACGAAAAAGAACATTGTCGTGACAGGTACTTGAAGCCAACTTGGACGGCCGAGGAAGCCAAGGTCGTGTTTTACTCGTCCGACATGAATCAAACCAACGAAGTCAACTTGACTCAGTTTATCCAACTCAGCTCGGTGCTTGTGAACGCGACGGTCACGCGGCGCCAACGGCGGCAGTCGTTGTTCATACAAGGTGAGGTGTCGTGCGGTGGTCGGCGAATGTCGACAAGCACTTGCACGATGGATGGAGGACAGTCTCGTACTCGGAGACCGCGTTCGTCGTTGTTTATGCGCATTTGTTGTGCGGGCTGGATTGTGTTTGGGATCGTGTGTGTGGCGATCGAATGAACCGACAACATTTTTGTGGGTGCAGTTTCATGGGCGAGGGCAGCAAGGTTTCGATGCGCCATCTATCGTCCCTCGAATGCAAAGTTTTCTTTTTTCACGTGGTAATATGCCATGAGAAATAGGCATGAAGAAGTGGCAAAACAAAACGCGCAACGTCTTGCTGGCCCAGACAACCGTGTGGGGGTACCCCGTGATCTACATGGAAGTGTTTGTGGGGTTTTTGATCTGCTTGTCCGTCGTGCAAGCCACCCAAGTCAACAACTATGCGCTGACGAATTCGCTCAACCATACGTGGCGCCTGGTCGGGATGGGACTTCTCTCGCTGTTCACGGTGGAAATTGCGCTCAAACTCTTTGCATTTGGGTCGGTGGGTACGTCATCGATGACGTTTTTCCGATGCCGCTCATTTTTCGTTGAATCGATTCATGGGTAGAATTTTTCAACCGACCTTTTTGCAAGTTTGACATTGTCGTGGCCACCGTCGGGTGGCTCTTTTACGCCATGACGTCGCTCATCCCGGCGTTCCCGGTCGTGTTTTATGACCTGGCGCTCGCGATTCGGTCCTTGCGTGTCCTCAAGGTCTTGAATTTGATTCCTCCCTTTCACAACATTCTCTGGACAATGGTACGAATACATAATTCATGCACACCCTTTGTCGCATGTTGGTATCGTGGTGTGAACCCTGCGGGATTTTCATCGCTGGCTGTGCTGTAGAACCGCATCATTCCCCTCATCGGGCAGCTTTTTTTGGTGATCCTGAGCGTCGTGTATGTTTTCGCCATCCTGGTACGTCGCGGTCGACCTGTTCTTGCGCGCGCAAACACAGTCATGTGAAAAATTTGCATCGGTTATGCTTTCCAACCTCGTTGAATTGAACCCTTTCTTGATGAAGGCGCAAGCCAATTACGGCCAACTCCTCGCTCGTTTCCCCGAATCGTTAAAAGACAACGCGTCGACGTGGTACATTCACAAGGAGGAGTTCCGCCTGGACACGTTTGAAAAGTACGTACCAAGTGTCGTGCGCTCGAAGCGATCGTTGCCTGACGGTGTTTTGCAGCTGCTTGGTGACACTGTTTGAAGAAGCGACGCTGGCGGGGTGGAATAGCATCATGGACGCACTCTTCGTCGTCACGGAGAGCCCCAACACACTCGTGTTCTTTTTCACGTTTCGCATCACGATCAGCAACATTTTGCTGCCGATTTTTGTGGGTTTTCTCGTTGAGAGCTTTAGCTCCAACCAAAAACCTGCTGAACTGTACGCGACGTCCCAACGATGTAAAAAATGGAGTCTCATGTCGTGGAGTTTTCCAGGGAAGAAGTTGCGAACGAGAAGACGCTGACGGTGGTCCCGGGCACGATGCCGCCGTCATCGAATGACCCAGGCGCAGAAATCATGCCCCCCAAGCGCGTCAAGTACAAAATGAGCTTCCAGCGACGCACGTCGGACGTCCAAAGTGCCATGTTTGACTTTTCCAGCAACAAAATCCAAGTTGACCAGTACGAGCGCAAAGTGAAAGAACTCAACTTGATCGTTCACGCCAAGAATCAAGAACTTGCAGCACTACGGGCGCAGTTGGACCTCTTGCAAACCCAAACCAAGGCCGAGGACGTTGAATCATCGTCCGAGGCATTGTAATCTATTCATGTCGCCACGATGCTTCTACGAAGCACATGGAAAATTGGTCCATGCAGGTTAAAAATACGAAAGTTTAGCACTGAATGCGACCTGCGACAGCGCGGTTGTGCGTTGGTTTTTTCATGTGGATTGAGTGAGACTAGGTCATGCAGCTTTAATCGTGGTAGTTCAGTGTCGTGAGAGGGGGTTGCGAGTGCAAGAGCTGGGAAGAAGTCCTTGTCTTGTTCGGAAGACGACATGTCGGCGAAAAGTCGGACTTTCAACGTAGTCCACGGGACTAAAAAATCCGACTCGCTGTCGTATCCCATGCCGCAAGGATCCCTAAACAGCATCGTGGCCCTCGCGCTTGTTAGCATCAAACTGCAATCGTCGTTCGCGCTATGTAAATAAAATCAGAGTGGCAGCAGCGACAACATAAAGCAACAACTGGACCAACTTGTATTTCAGGTCAAGAAGTGGACACCGCGGAATACACTTCGCCATCGATCTCGGTACACGAGCATACTGGTCGCTTGATCTGACCGCATGTGTTGGTTGTACAGTCTGCATTTGAGGTCTTCCACACAGTACTCTTTCACATGGTGGGGGCGCGTGGTCAGGAGGGTCTCAACTCGCGGCGTGAGCCCGACCTTGTCGAGCAAAACGTCCACTGGCTCGGGAATACTACTCTGAAACAGGTACAGCGACTGAATGATCGTCGTGGTCGGCCCGACTTGGTGGAACAGGACCAGCACGATGCGGTTGTGTGGCTGCGACACGCGATGGACCGGCCACTCCCCTTCATCTTCGTCCGTGACTGCTTGGATAAAGCACAGGAGACGATTCGCATCCAACTGAATTTTTGCCGATATCGCATACCCTTGCACAGTTTCGTTCAAAAACACGCCTGGAGCAGCTTCGTCCACCCGCTACAAGAGTTTATCGCTGTGATATTCATGGAACCTGGAACGCAAACACATTTCGCGCACGCGCCGTCGTACCGTTGTGGCGATTTGCAGGTGATCGGAGGTGTTCTCGTACCAGAACTTCATGAAGTCGTTGCCCATGCGGTCATCGATGTCGCTGATGGACGCATGCACGACGAATTCGGCTTGGCGCACCTGGAAATGGAATCACGACGGGTGGCCCAGACGTAGGGGTGTACCATGGATTGAAACCCTTCTTTGTAAGTGAACATGCACTCGTTCAATGGCTCCTTGTTTGTCGATCCGCGCGAGAATCCGTAGAGATGGAAGAGCCGTTCGTGGTTGTGTTGCACATGATCCACCATCCAGAGCATGCCATGATGCCGTGATTCAGGGTGACGAGTCAATGAAGTGTGGCGCCAAGAGGATGGTTCCATCGGATTGTCCGGCAGTGTTCGAATCTACATTATAATCACGAACAAAGCACAGAATGGGACGAAGCGCTGTCGATGAAAATACCTGAGACGGAAGGAACCGTGAGAGAACCCATCGATGGAACGCTTGCACGAGCGATTCGTGGCGTCGCACTTGCTTGACCAGTTCACGATGTTGGGCGAGCACTTCTACCTTGTCCTCACACAGAGCTTGCGCGACGTCTTTCCATGGCAGCTTCCCGCCGTCCTGCTGCTTTTGTTTTCGAAGTTGCTGGAGCTCTGCTTGCAGCTGAGCGTGCGTCTCCCGCAATCCCTCCTTCATTTCCTTCTTCAGAGCGCGGTACGCACGTAGTCTGGCCTTCTGCTCCCGTTTCGGCACCGCCGTCGGCGACGCGGACTCTGTTCCGCTCGCGCTCGTCATTTTCATTCCGCGAATTTCGTTGCTGGTCAAAGGTCCAATTCAATGTCGGGTTTAAGAAGTAAAGATCGAGCCAACTTGAGAACATTATGTCCGTTTCAAGTTACATGTATCCGGATATTTCTATTCACGGATTGGTCGAAATGTGGATATTACACCCTCTCATTGGTCACCTTTTTATCCAATCCACTCGAGTCAGGTGAAGGTACCGTTCAGTTGGGAAAAGCTGCAAGATGGAAGATGCGCATGAGCACCTGGCCCGCGCTCGTCGAGAGCGCGACCAGCTCCAGGTCCAAATCGACAAATTGCCTGATGGTATCGTCAAGGTAGAGATTTTCATTTGATTGACCTCAACAACGTCAAATGTCCTTGTCCAGACGCACATGTTGGGGGCACTGGCAGCCTTGGACGCTGAGCTCTCGTCCGTTGCCCCGAGCGCGAGCAACGATGAAGACGCACTGGTTTTCCGCATGAAGAACCATGCGGTGATGGTCAAACAACCTCAGGATGCCTTGGTGGCGATGGTGCACTTCATGATGCAAGAATCGGGTGCGCACTCCCGTCTAAGGCAAATTCTGACAACCCCGTGCGGATGCAGGTTTTGTCCATACCGCCAACACGGGAAACGACACGTCGCTGTTTCTTCCCCCGCATTGGGACAAGAATTCCGACCAAGGTATCTTTGTGTTTGAGTACACCCACCCGAACAGCGCAGCGACAAAGTATACGCTTAAGGTAAGCGTGCAGAGTGTGAAGATGGGATGAGAGACTTGATCTCCTGGTGTCCACAAGCCTCGTGCTCAACTTCCATGTGCTGCACAATCTAGGCCCTCTATGTCGGCCGTCGCACCTTGGCTATTCATATCGCAGCAAACGACGACGTGGTGCATTCTCTCGAACTCGAGTACGAAACCTGCATCTGCGTGGGTAAACTCCAAACGGACTGACGCGCTCGGACGTAGCGCATCCATGTACGTTCGAGACACAACGTCCTCGCTGGCAGGAGATGCTGTGCAGCAATCGGGGCAATTGCGACGACTCTGGTCCACGTTTAGCTCTGCCTTTCGGCCGTCAGTACGTCGGATTTTTCGCGAGGCTTTGATTGTTGCGATGAACATGTATTTACTACGACACTAGGCGCCTTCTGGCGACGCAGGCACACATGTTCCGAGTGGTCCACACCCCGGCTCCCTTCGGCTGGATCGTCCTGCGCCTGCCCCACCACTCTACCCCAACGTACGGACTGTTGAATGGTCTCCGTTCGACTTGGATGCATATTTGTCGTGGCTTTGGTGGACCTGAACGTGAACTCACTTGATGTTTGCATGACCCTGTTGACCTTTAGGTTGGTGGTGGCGATGCGTTTCCTGAGTTTTTGGGCCCACCGCCGCATCCCAACCTTGGCCGCCGTGATCCTGGCATGCAAGTTGGCCCGGACCATCCCTTGTTTAGTGGACGGTTAGGAGGCAGTCCATTTGGACCGGTGCCAGGGGCCCGATTCGACCCCTACGGCCCAGTGGGGCCTTCCAACTTGTTCCGCCCTCAGCCTGGCCGCGAACCCCGTGGCCCCCCATTGTTTGGAGGACCAGACAACGACCACCTTCCGATGCCTGGCTTTCCACGCCACGATGACATGTTTTCGTAACGCAGCTCCGTCGGTTGATTCATTGCCAAGACGTGCGTTGGAGAAGAGAGTCGTTCGTTAAGATTGCATGGGGCGTTTGATCAACTCCCTGCTCTAGTGTGTTCATTTCGATGCTACGGTCCATGCATCGTGGCGCGGGCATGGCCGGGTTTTCTTGAAAACTCGATTTTTTTTTGTTGGTGCCGGGCGAGTGTCACAAGCTTCCAGTTGGATTTTTCTCCGACACGACGCTGCTGACTGCGGGATGGAGACCATCTCGTGGCAGCCGGGGACACCGATGGCTTTGCCAAACCCGTCGCCGTGCTCTCGACAAAGGAAGACGCAGGCAAGGGTTGAAGGCATCATCGCTCGGCTTGCCAAACAAGCAGCTACTTTGAAGTTCGTCTCATGTCTTTGTGCCGTCCTGGCTGCTCAAACGGTTGGAAGAATTGCTTTGCCGACGGGGGTTTGGAAGCGAGGTGGACGACGACGCAGTTGATTTGCGAGTCGTTTTTGCAAGCGGCCCAACGAAACACATGTAGCGCAAACACTACAACTCGATGGCTTAACGAGTCACGGTGGTTATCATGATTCCCTCGCAGAACTTGGTCGCCCCAATCTTGAGCTAGCTTGCGCTGGCATGCTACCACCCAAGTGGAGCTGGGACACACTTGACGTGGAAAATCGTACGCTTCCATCACGCTGGCCCATCGTCAACAACGCGCGAGCGGTTTAGAAACGCTTGGACCACACGCTCGAGGCAAGTCGTCAAGGGGACGCCCGTTGTTCGATCGTCGGTTCGACCCCTGGTCCAAGTCGCTGACCGGTTGAATCCTGGTGGATTCACCCAAAGCGCGCGCCATTCTGGTCCAGCGGCTTGCATTCAAGCATGTCCGCGATGGGCCATGCTCGCCTCGGTTCATCCACTCGGCGACAACAGCCGCAAGACGCTCTCGACAAAGTCTGGGGAGATGCCATTTCGTGGCATCCACTCGGGATCGTGGCATGGCAGCACCGCATCCACGCAACGAATGAAACGTTGTGAAAACGACAACTCGCGATCGCACATGCGCCCGTCGTCTTCCGCGAGTGCGTCCCCCGATGGACACAAAGTCGGCGTGCGCAATGTGTGCTCTCGGCTTTCGTTCATGCTTGCCAAGCCACGCGTTCCTTGGAACGCCATGATACGTCTGGCGCGGTGACCTGTATTCACACGCGTGTTGTTTGCCATGCCGTTTGAGAAAACAGAAACGTGTGTGCTGGCTAACGGACGCAAGTTGGCATTCTGCATGCGCCACACTCGAAAGGACCGACTGCCCAGCCGCTTTATGCCCGCTTGGTCCCTCGGCAAGACACAAGGGAAAGCGCCATTTCATATCCCTAGAGCCGTGCCATCCTCTACCGCGACTCGTTATGTTCGCGACGCATCATTGCAGCGAGTTCGTGGTGGTGGTGCATGGAGGGGAGACGGATGTCTCGATGCACGTCCTATTCCTGCCTGGTTTGCAGCGTTGTTACAGCGCTGCCTCGGCAATCGCCCAACGCGTCGCGGCAATCCCTTGCACACTCCAGTGGTTTGACGTCTCGGGCTGTGCGGTCCAATACTCGGGGCTCGGTAAAAAATCTGGCGATGGAGGTTCACCGGGCAGCTCGTCCGACAAGTGTGCAGTATGGCCTTGCGCCGCCCCTCATGCGACACCCGCACGAACAACGATTTCGTCCGGCACACCGCCCACCATGACGGCGATGCTGTCGCCAGCCAAATGGATTTTGTCGTCGTGGACCAGCCAACGTTTTTTATGTCGTAGCACGACGAGCACGAGCACACGTGCGACGATGTCCAACTCGATTGACATGTGGATGTCGTCGATGTGTCGGCACCCCTCGATGCGCATGTTTGCTCGGGACTGATGCAGTAACCCGTGCAGTCGCACCGAAATCTTCTCGGCTTCTCCTCCATCGGCGGCGGCGGCGTGATATCATATGGAAGATGCCTCCCGACCTTCACCCACCATCCTCCACGTCAAAGACGCTGACGACTCTTGGAAAATTGTTCAGGGCTCTGTCCATGCCCAGCCATACACTTTGTCGGAGCCGTCACAGGAACGGTGCGCCTGGCAGCAGCGACGGACATGGCGGCATGACGTCGTGGGCATCATGCCATGCCAAGGTCGAAACGTGCGTGTCCTGGAGTGGCCACACAAGTCTCTGAAATCCCACGAACGCGATGCGCGTGTCGTCAGCACGTGCGTCCCAACAGCGACATGAAAGGGGGCGATGGGACCCTCTGCTGTGCGACTCCCATCCTACCGACGGCCCCTTCGTCGCTCAGACTACTTCAACGGATTCGTACCATGACAAATTCGTCACGTGGTTCAAGTGTCTTCTTGTCCGAAATGTTCGTAATCAACGATTAAATTATTTGATTCGATCCAGAAACAACTTGGTATTTGTATGTCACTCCAGAAACGAATCAAGGAGGCCAAAAATAACACGTCTATTGCCTCATCCCTTGTTCTTGGGAAATTCGCTTGTGACTTGTGTTCTCCAAGTCACAGGTCCCATGGACCAAACACTCTCGTAGGTATTGGGACTCTATGTTGAAGGCCGTTGATGTCGGATATCGTCGCATGCTATTTCATGTGAGGGAGCTTATACTCCTTGCCACCGTGTAGTAGTTGGATGGATTTTCTCGATCGCCTTTGTAATGCATGCGGTTTTTTGCAAGCCATGCATGGAACAGCGTTTCCACCGCATCGGTCCTCGATTGTTCGAGTGCACTTTGGATACGGCGACTGTGAATTGAGTGCAAGAATCGTCACTCAAAGCACGCACCAGGGATTAGCGCTCTTTGCATCTGCCTGGGGCACCGGCCGTACATCATATGTGCATTCAATATTCCCCAAAATCGGTTACCTGTAGAACACAATGCTCGTCAAAGTGAATAAAGTATAAAAGTATACAAGTATTTCCCTTGTCGGTGGTGGGACAATGTGGTCCGCTTGGGACAAACGCCCCACACATGTTCGACCCAGTGTCTCATCGACGCGAATTCAAGACGAAACTACCCAATCAACGAAGAGAACTCTTGCGATGTCACATCTCGCCTCTCGATGTGGTACAACTTGCTGCGACAAATTTGGAAAAATTCCACTTATCGTACGTACCCTTCAACTATTTCGGACCACAGTAGCGAGGTCGTGTGCTAAACAAACGTGGGTGGGGGGGGGAAGCGCACGTCGTCAACGTTTTGGCATAGGTCCAGGCGACATGGCCAGTAGGTGGCATCGTACCAAAACCAGCGGCGGCCCATGTCCTGTGGGATGTTCGTGCTGGTGGTGCATACGTTTTTGCTGGCGGCCTTTCCATGGCAGCGCATGGTGTGCCAGCGTCCTCTGTTTGTTGCGCCTCCGCATGCACACTCTTCCCTTGGATACTTCATCAAGTTCTAGTCATGTTCGATGTGATGCGAGGTGGGCGACCGAATCGGGCGACAACCATGATTGGTTGCTAGTGTAAAATGGCCGCGATTCCATGCTTTTCATCGACGGGGGTGTTGCCGAGCGCACTGCTCAACTTACTTTGGACGACTCAACCCCAAACACGATGCTCCCCCCCTGTGAAACCCTTGCAGGCGGCCCCAAGTTGTGCTGCTTTCATTTGTGCTTCCGTGAAGCCATGCCCCACAGTATCAAGTGCTCCAAGCACCGTAGGAAGAGCATCTGCGCTCGCCATGCGTGTACCAAACAAGCCTATCAGAACAAGCTGTGCGTCGGCCACGGCGGAAGACTTCGCCCTTGCGTCGTGCAGGGCTGCAATAAAAACGTACGGGTCAGCTCGTATTGTCACCACCATGCCCAGAACATTCCTGCTATCCAGTGCAGCCGTGATGGATGCCTGAGCATGGCACGAGGGCGGCCCTATTGCCTTCGACACTCGAAATCGATGACGACGACCACAGGACACATGTCACCCTCCGCCCCCTGCGCTTCGAACGAGCCGTTCGAGTATTGCTTCGATGCGACCCACGGTTCGGACTCGAGCGATGTCGACCTGCCTCTCGATAAACTCCCAGATAGTTGTCAAGTCGTATCCACGATCCTCGACTCGACGGATTACACTACGCTCTTGGCCATTCTATCTCTGGACGATGAGGTGGAATCCGGCGATGGCGCTGTGCACTTCGCCTCGTGCACCGGTATCCCCCCGTCGTGAAGACGTGATTCGCATGGGAGCCTCCATGTGCATGTTATTTGGCCATGCCTTCATTCGTACACTGCAACTCGAGGCAACCTCGGTTGAAAATAAATATTTTGTGACCTCCCCATGCACGCAATAGACTACCACACAGATCACCAGCACGAACGATGTGGTCGAGACAGGCACATCAAAACAGCGAGAACGTTCTCGTATGCAAGTGCTGCAGGTTTTCGCTGCCCAAGGTGTCAACCCAGATGGACTGCCCCATCTACAGCTGCCCAAGGTGTAAACAACCCCGATGGACTGCCCCATCTACTCGTTCGAATCCAGGCACACAATGTGGACTCTAAGCTTCTTCAGGCGATTCAACCTCTCTCGGCGGGTCAAAATCGAAACCCACGTCTCCACTGGACACGGGCGTGTCCTGTGCGAATGGAGTCCACGAGAAGAATGCATGGATATATCCTTGAAAGTGCCAACCGACCAGCAACAGAATGTCACTCGGTCGGCGTTTTGCATCGGACCACAACGCGTCGATGCCGTCGCAACGGGGGCGAAAGACAGACCGCCCATTCAACATGCACACCGTGATCTTTCAACGTGAAAACTCTAGAGGCTCCAGGTGGGGGGGGGGTTAATGTCAAAGGTTGCCCTGGGTGGCATGTGACGACCCTAGAAATCCGACCAACACATGACGGAGAGCCTCCAGGCTTTTTGCCTGACCCCATGTGGTGCAGACTGTAACCCACTTGGTCATGTCTCGCTCGTCGTCGTCGGCGCGATTATCGTGCGCCACGTAAAGAGTTGCGAGCACGACGGGGGATGTCCCCCGTAGTACTTGACAAATTTGTGGTCAAGCACTCTCCGAATCGATCCGTACTGCGCTTTCATTGGTCAAAAGCTTTGGATTTTGACTCCAATCCATGTACATGAAAAATCATACCCGACCATAGTACTACTAGCACATGGCATCCTTGGGAACGCATATCTGGAAATATCATCCGTCACACGAGGATGTATGAGCACGCGACGGAAAATTCCCCATGGCATGTGGCAATAGTTCGCTTGATAACAGCGCAAGCGTCTTCTCCGATGCAGACACCCCTGGCTGTTCACGGTGCCGCTTGTACCCGAGCTTGCTCAGTTGTCCGACCGACATCACGTTGTCGAGTCCAATCCTAGTTTTTTAATTGTCTTAGTGTATGTATTCCGTATTCTCTTTGATTATTCTGCTGTATGGTTGTCACCGACAACGTTGACTAGTACTACTAATACGTATCATCGGAACGAACGAACTAAACTAGTACTAGCATGTGCAATGATTGTGTATTTGTGAATAGTGTATATACCTATTTAGCGTGATCCACACTATATGTAGGTTGTGGGATTTTGCCAAGCGTCTTTGACGGTCGCTGTGACTACTAGTATCTGCCTGCGACTTACAGCCCACTGTATCGTCTCCTATCGCCCACCACGCTCTCGCTCCGTTTGTTCGACCCTCGAGTTCGCCTGTCTTGACAAAGCGTATATTCCAAAATAGTGTAATTCACACTATTCATTGGGATCCGCCGTCGAGGGGTTTCGAAATTAGTGTGTTTCACACTAGTTACACCCTCCAGGGGTCCATGCAGGTTTTTGTTGTCATGGCACGATGGGCATGTCAGAAATTCCGACGATCGATGCCTGCATGCTGCCACCACCACGGTACATTTGCAGCGGTCGGCGAACCAAGGCAATGTTGCGTTGGCGCTAGGTATCCTGTCGAACCTAGCTTGAGTCATCGTGAGAAAGACGTGACGAAGATGCGAGACTCGCCAGCAGGGTTGGAATCGATTTGGAACAGATTTCTCTCGTGCACACGTTCATTTCACGCCATCGTATGGGGGTGTATGGGCTCGTACTATTCCTCGGGAACTGGTCGGACTGCCTCGTGCGCTTCGAGATCGTTCCGACCTTTCAACGACTACACGACTGAATCGTTGGGCATTGTGCCACCACCGTTCTCGGACACGCGCGCTGTTTGGGAGGGATCGATGTGTCCATGGGGCGGTTTGTTGGAATCACACACTTTCCTGCCTGTGGCATGTTGCGCCACCGAGAAGGGAATGGACCTGCTTTCGCTTGTTTGGTTGGGGACCAAGCACCGATTGCTGCCAGAAGAAACGACGGCGAAGAAACATGATAAACCAAGATATGCTGCGATTTCGTACGGCGCGAACGCTTTTACACTCCTGTCGGTGGTGGCGATGTGTTGACCATAACCAAGGACGATGCATCGACAGTAGGGCGGCGGCAGATCTCGTGGGAATCAAGCACACCAAGTCACTGGCACGCAACCAACCCAAGGACGTGCGTCTCGAAACCACGTATCGAAGCGGTCCCTCTTTGGCAGGATGCCCCCCTCTCGTGGTGTAGAGCACGAGCCTGTGTGTCCCAGACAAAGGCGTGCGCTGTTTGTTCTAGTCTTGGAAACGAATGGAGCGTCACTATTTCTCGATTCACGTTGCCATGACCGAGCTTCTCGCCCTTGTAGCCTTGGACACCGTCGCCCACATACGAAATCGTCAACGGTAGCCCCCATCTCATGTCGGGCCGGTGCGAGACCACCAACCAGCACCACCAAGTAAGGTGCAGCGTTGGTTGCCCTCTCGTCGGGCGAAAAGGACAGCAAGGGCATAAAAAGGCATCATGCGCATGGGGGGACCTCGAGTCGAACACGCCCGAGGGCAACCTTGCCGTGTTGGACAGGCAGCGTCTTCCCCCCTCCCGGTCAAGATCCACTGGAAGCAGGATGTCGTCCCCCGTGCCGTGGTTGCGCTCGATTCGGGCAAACGACCCTTTTCCTTGAGGACGCAAATCTGCGTCGTCGGTCGAAATTTCGTTAAAAGCGTTGAAAGCCACGTATCTGTCGAATCGTCGTCGCATCTGTGCGCGGAAGACCCAAGCAACGATCGCGCTTCACGATTGCGGCAGTCGATGGAACGAGTCCATGAACGGCGAGGACTTCCTCGTGGGGATCTCCATCGCGGGGACCGATTGTGTTGTTTTACCCTGGCCCCCCTGAGCTGTACGCGCGCATCCCGTCATCCCGCAATGTCATCGATTTGTACCCTTCCTCCGACCCCCAGTCCACTACCACAATGCCGTCGTGCTCGAGTCGGTCCACCTCATTCACCAGGTGAAAGCATCGGTGCATCGTCAAGATATTGACAACATCGACCTCCTTGCGACATGATGAGAGCTACTCCGTCAAAAATGGACCCGATGAGCGAGACAACACATGCATGATCGATCGCGGCGATTGCCCCAACCACAATCTTGACGAATCCAGGTGGAGTGCAACAGAATTCGACGTGGGATCGAATCGAAGAAGCGGCATGCCAGACACATCATGAGCGGCGGCATTGGCGCCGCGCGAAAGGAGAAACTTGACGGCTTGAAGATGCCCTGCTTCCACACCAATTTTCAGTGAGTCGGCGCCCTTACCTGCGTTGGCGCGTCAACGTTGGCGCCGAGCGCCTGCACCACAGCCAAGTTTCCGAAAATGAATAGCGATCCTGCTCTGGTCAATTGTGGCACCGGGCAACACACGCACCTCCGGCGCCAGTCGGCCGAATGGACATTGGTTCTTTGGTCCAAAGCATGCCGGACGAGATCAACGAATGCGTTGATAAGACGATAGTGGCAAACGTGTCATGGCAACGTGTTGGTCGTTAATTGGCATAAAAGTTGGACCAAATCGTGACGCCGGTGCTGACGATGCCAATGATGGCCGACCCGATGAAGAGGACCAACGGGCCAAGCTTGGCCCGGCTGCAGATTGGACCGGGCTCCAATTTCAAGACGAAAGCAGCCGGGAAACAAAAGCACACGACGCTCGAGCACGTGCCGCCAATGATGCCGAAAATGACGTTGATGTTGGGGCAAAAAATCGCCAACACGAGCGACGTTATCACCAAGCCTGGCCACGCACGGTCATCACCACGTCCTAAAAAAACACAAAATATCCCAAGTACCTGTCGACACAACCACGTGACGAACCAACGACTCTTTTGCTTGAGCAAAAAACATCATGTCGATGCTAAACCGGCACGGGAAAATGTTCATCGGATATGCGACCGCGACCGTAAACGTGATCGCTGCTCGCGCAAATGCAATCAGGACGTCCGACATGGGAAAGCTCAGCAAAATGTTGCCTTTCACGACGGGGTCGGCCAACGAGTGGCCAAACGCAACGTACGCCACCAAACCAATGACAACGTAAATCGACAGCGATGCGTACGCGGCTCGGTCGACAACCTACTCGAAAACAAATGCGCGCTTTTCAAAAAACGAGGCCATCCAGTGACAAATCACGACCACGTGCTTGCACGACGTACCTTGGACATGCGACGAATGCAAGGGCGTTGCAATTCCGTAAAAATGGAAAACACATTTGGCTATTGCGCCACAGATTCGCGAAAATGTGAGAGACGGGTAGAGAAAAATTAACGACTCGGACACTCCACACAGTTTGGAGCGTTCAAAGCGCCGACCGTACCTGGTTGGTGAAGGCAAACATGACAATCGGAACTGACAGCATAAAGTCCGGACCGTGGGATACATTCATGCCCCAATCTACGTCAGGTTGTGAGTAGGCGACAATGGAACGAGGAGCGTGTGTGGCACGTGGGCGAAAAAAATTCCAAACGATTCGGCTCGGAATCCAATCGTGGCATGCACAAAATGCACACCGATTTTACGCTCGCCGCCACAGAGTCAACGAAAATGCAAAAAGCATGGGGTGTTCAGAGTCGAGAGAATGGAGGGGGACATCGACAAGCCTCGTTTGGCACAAAATTCATGGAGAGAAGGATCGTACCGAGCGATGGTGATACGCCGTCTTGGTGGATGTGCATGCCGGAACGAATCGCAACGGCAACGACGAGGAAAATGATGGAAAAGACACCGAGCATGGACGAGAACTGGAGCGACGTCATGTCTCGCAACAGCGACAGCGGCCACATGATGGTGGCGCAGAACAACGACATAAGGAACCAACGGGTGCTCCAGATGCTGTCGGGCCCGAAAACGAGCAAACCCAACGGCGTAATCAAGTCCCCGAGCGTCACAAGGTACGCCACCGCAATGCCAAAGCTGAACACCATGATGCACACCTCGACAAACAATTCGGCGCGCTTGCCAAAGCAGTACATCGCCAGATCTTCATACGACTTGAGTCTATTCCAGTGTCATGTAAGCAGACTCGGGTGGATGATGTGGATAGATGGATGTATGGTGATGATGCATACTTGGTGATGTCCCCCGCGCGCATGAGAAGACTGATCGAGTAAATCGTCAGAAACGCCGCGAGGAAGAGCTGTGCCAAGGCAAACCCGACTCCCGACACGGCGACAGCGTACGGGAGACTGAGTGCGCCGGCTCCCAACGTCGCTCCCATCAAGTTGAAGATGGAACCACGGATAGATCCCGGTGGTGGGATAAACATCGACGACGACGAGCCGTCTTGATGATGCGGGAACGAGCTTGCTTCGGCCTCGCCATGGGTCTACATCATGCGATCAGGTACAACCTTCGTGGCGAAGCGACCGTACTGTGGCGCGATCCATCTTGCGTGGCGTCGTGACAAAGTTCACCATGCGCTTCACATGCATGTGAGACCAGCGGATTTGCACGCTTGGACAATCGTGTGTTGTACCTGAAAGATCAACGGGACGTAGCCGAGCTTGCGCGTGTATGCATCGCGCGTGTTGGCCGGGGAGCCATACGGCGGCGCGACCTTGACATTCGCTCCCAGCGGCAGCAACGGCTCTCGGACATCTCCACCCGCGCGGGACTTGTTGCTCATCTCGTTCTGGTGGGAAATCAACGAGTTGTTGGACGTACCTCTCGAGTGCTTGGGAATCGAACTTTATCGGACTGCACGAAAATGTCCATACCATCGGTGGGAGCAAAAGCGTATTTAACTGGCGTCATACAAACATGAAGTGAATAGACCCCGAACTTCAGCGAGACGTTGAACTTGTCAAGTGTCGCCAGCGTTTTTTGTTGTGGCGAGAAAAGTTGCTGAAAATATCTTTGGCGGCGCGTCCCGCAGCGACCGCCGTGGCGATGAGAATGATTGCATTCCAGCGGCATCAGTCGCGTTTGCTTGGACGTGCGGCTCTGTAAAGCGGTGGGAGCAGGGCGACCTGTGCCGTGTGGACCAAGGACGGCGGTAAACCATAGTCGTTGAGACGAGATAGGTCGGGAGAATATATTTGGGAGAATTGCCAGCTTTCGACGCGCGATTGTCTCGACGCCGCCGCGCCAACTACCGTACTCACACGTGAGTTCAGATGTGCTCCGCGCAAGCACCACCAACCGTGGGGTCGAGTGGTTGTGGATGCATTCGTGTGGCTTGGACCGCCCCGACGAATCGATCAAAGCGTGGTGGGGGACATCACGATCACGGGAACGTCGCGACATGTGTCGCGTGTGATGTAGGCTTAAGGTCTACTAAGCATGCGCACTTGACGGGAGTGAATACTAACTAGTGTTAGCCTCCTGCGGGCCCAAGCCCGGGATCAAGCAAGCGACGCATCGTGTCTCCGATGGAGACCGCCATCGAGAGCGGTCAGCTCTGGCGTGTCGTATCTGGATTCATTCTATTCTTCTGGGTGTGCCCTTCGGCCATCCCTAACCCCAACTGCTCTCTGTCTGATTGGCTATATCTTTTGATGATGATCTGTGATTGGTGGATATGTAGGACAGTTGGTGGTGGTGACAGTTCCTTTCATTCTCACTTTAGCCGTTAAGCCCTCGAGCGTCCTAGACAAGGACCGAGGTGTGCTGTAACAGAGCTTGCG